TGGGCCTGCTCCGCAGCCTCCCTCCCCTTCTCCGCCTCCTCCCGTTTCCTCTCAGCCTCACCACGAGCACTCTCCGCCTCCTCCTGCCTCCTCTCCGCTTCCTCCCTAGCCTTAACCGCCTCATCCCTCTCAGCCTCCGCCTCTGCTCGTGCCTTTTCAGCCAGTGCTTTGGCCTCCTCTGCCTGAGCCTTCGCTTCATCTGCCTCGCCCTTAGCCTTCTCTGCTTCGTCTTTCTTCCCTTCCGCCTCCTCCTTTTCTCTCACAGCGTCCTCCCTTGCCCTCTCCGCCTCCTCCTCCCTCCTCACCGCCTCGTCCCTCCGCCTCTCCGCCTCCTCCCTCTTCCCCTCTGCCTCCTCCCTCGCCCTTTCCGCCTCTGCCTGCTTCCTCTCCGCCTCCTCCCGCATCCCTTCCGCCTCCGCCCTTGCAGCTTCCGCTTCCGCCTGTGCCTGCTCCGCTGCCGCCCTCCCAGCCTCCGCCTCCGCCTTGGCTTCCAAAGCTTCCTCCCTCCGCCTCTCTGCCTCTTCCTGTGCTGCTTCCGCCGCGCTCCTGGCAGCTTCCGCCTCCGCCTTAGCAGCCTCCGCTTCCGCCTTCGCCCCCTCCGCCTCCGCCTGAGCTGCTTCCGCCTCCGCCTGCTTCCTCTCAGCTTCAACCCGCCGCTCCTCCGCCTCCTCCCTCTGCTTCTCCGCTTCAGCCCGTTCCTTCTCAGCAGCCTCTCTCGCCCTCTCCGCCTCTTCTCTCTCACGCTCCGCATTCACCCTCGCTTCTTCCTCCTCCTGCCTTCTCTTCTCCGCCTCTGCCGCCCTCTCCTCAGCCTCCCCCTTCGCCTGTTCTGCCTCCTCCCTTGCCCTCTCCGCCTCCACCCGAACCCTCTCTGCTTCCTCTCTCGCCCTCTCCGCGTCTTCCTTCCGCCTCTCCGCCTCGTCTCGCGCCCTCTCAACCTCCTCCTTGCGCGTTTCAGCATCATCTCGCCTCGTTTCAGCGTCCTTCCTCGCCTCTACTGCCTCTTGCTCCCTGCGCTCTGCCTCACTCCTGGCACTCTCCGCTTCGGCTTGCTGCCTCTCTGCTCCCGCCATCGCCCTCTCCGCCTCCTCCGCACGCCTCTCAGCTTCAGCCCTTGCACTCTCCGCATCAGCTTGCTTTCTCTCTGCCTCCTCCCTCCCCCTCTCTGCTTCCTCTCTCTTCCTCTCCGCCTCCTCCATACGCTTCTCAGCTTCAGCCTGTGCGTTCTCCGCCTCGCCCCTAGCCCGTTCCGCTTCCTCTCGCGCTGCTTCCGCCTCCGCCTTAACCTTCTCTGCTTCCGCCCTCGCAGCTTCAGCCTCCTCCTTGTCTTTTTCAGCCTCGGCCCTAGCTGCATCTGCCTCTTCCTTATCCTTCTCAGCTTGCGCCCTCGCTCCCTCTGCCTCCGCCCTCGCTGCCTCTGCCTCCTCCTTATCCTTCTCTGCTTGTGCCTTGGCAGTTTCCGCCGCCTCACGCGCGCTTTCCGCCTCTGCTCGCGCCCTTTCCGCCTCCTCCTTAGCCTGTTCCGCCTCCTCTCTCACCATCACAGCCTGTTGCCGCTCCGACTCCGCCTCCTCCCGCGCCTTCTCCGCTTCCTCCTGCTTCCGCTCCGCCTCCTCTCTCGCCGCCTCCGCTTCCTCTTGCTTCCGCTCAGCCTCCGCGCGGGCCGCTTCCGCCTGCTGCTGCTGCGCTTCCGCAACCTCCCTCGCTCGCTCCGCCTCCTCTTTCGCATCAGTAGCCGCATCTCTTGCTTTCTCCGCCTCTTCCCTCGCCTTCTCAGCCTCCTCCTGTGCCGAAACAGCATCTTTAGCCGTATTCTCTGCTTCCTCCTTTGCTTTCTCAGCCTCCTCCCTCGCCGCTTCGGCTTGCTGGCGCGCCTCCTCAGCTTCCGCGCGCGCCTTTTCCGCTTCCGCCCTCACCTTCTCCGCCTCTGCTTTCTCCCCTTCCGCCTGTGCCCGCGCCTGCTCCGCTTCCGCCCTCGCCCCTTCCGCCTCCTCTTTCGCCTTGATAGCCTCCGCCCGCTGCGCCTCCGCTACTTCCCGTTGCGCCGCGGCCTCTGCTCGAGCGCTCTCCGCCTTCTCTTTCTCCGCCAAGGCTTCTTCCCTTTCCACCTCCGCCTCCTGCTGCTTCCTCTCCGCGTCGGCTCGCGCATTCTCCGCGTCAACTCTCGCATTTTCCGCGTCAGCAGCTGCGGCCTCAGCCGCAGCCCTGTTCGCCTCCGCCTCCGCCTTCCCCGCCAGTGCCTCCTCCCTCGCCCTCTCCGCCTGCTCGCGCGCAGCTTCCGCCTCCTCCCTCCCCTTTTCCGCCTCCGCCTGCGCCCGTTCCGCCTCTTCCTTCTCCCCAACAGCCTGCTCTTTCATCTCCTCAGCCTCCTCTCGCTTCCTCAATTCCTCCTCCAGAACCTTCTGAAGCTCCGCTTTCTCTCCTTCCACTCCCTCTTTCAGCCTCAGCGCCTCATCTCGCTCCTGCTCCGCCTTCCTCCTCCCCTCCTCCGCATCCCTACAAGCAGCTTCCACCAGCTCTTCCTTTCTCGCCTCCACCTCTTCCTTCTCCCTCATAGCCTGCTCCTTCTGCAATTCCGCCTCTTCCTTCGCCTTCCTCGCCTCATCCCTCTCCGTCTCCGCCTCCTCAAGCCTCCTTTCCATATTCTCCTTCTCCTCCCTCACTTTCCCAATCGCTTCCAAAGCCTCTTTTTCCGAAGCCATGCGTTTCTTGTTATCCTTTGTAAGCTTCTCCACTTTCTCCTTTAAGCTGTCATGCACGAACTTATACTTGCCAAGATCCACCTCCATAGCCATAAATTTCTCCTCCATTTCCTTTAACTCCTTATCTTTCGCGCCCATTGCGGCGCCACTCCCTCCAGCAATTTTGCTTTCCGCCAATTCTTTCCTCAGCTTCTCAATTTCTGCCTGCATCTCCCCAGCAGCGTCCTCAGAAACTCCACCTCTCTTCCATGACTCGATTTCTTTCGTCATCTGCCCGATCTGTTCCTTCGCTGCCTTTAACTCCGCTTGCATGTTCTCCATTTTCAGTCGCATGTCCATATTCTTTATTTTCAGCTGCCCGAGCTCCACTTCCAAAGCCACACTGGAGTCTTTCGAAGCTCCCGGACCTGTAGCACTGGGTCCGCCTCGGACCGAACTGGCAGCACTGGACCCGGTTCGAACTGAGCCAGCAGCACTGGGTCCGGTTCGGACCGAACCAGTCGTACTGGTTCCGGTTCGGCCCGACGAAGCAGGTACTGGGACGGCTCCCCCAGACTGAACGGACTTGTGACGGAAAGACGCGACTCTATCGGCGACACTAAGCTTAGTAGTGGTCTTTTTCTCTGGTAACCAGTCATCGTTAGATGACGCGCCATCTGCGAAACCACAGAATCGGGCAAAGGTGAGATAAACTTTTATCACAGAAACAAGGAAAGAGAAGAACTGCAGACCTTACCTTTTCCGGACATTGTCGCGAGGGCAATCGACGGTTGAAATGCTATTGGTGCTTCAGGTAGCAAAACCGGCAGTCAATGCCGTCGTCAGATATGGAAAAGGAGATAATATAAGTCCTAAAGTTGCAATGAAGGTTGAGAGAGAAGAAATAAATAAAGAGGGGCCTCAAACGACGCAGTCATTAGTCTAAACCCCTGTGATGACAGGGCTGCAAGGCGTCTCAGAACATCAGTCGATAATGTAAGAGCAGAAGCGGCATTAGCTATTCCCGCCGTACATCTTTTCTGACCGCAGTTTCGACGGATCTGGAAGGTAACCAGGGAACGGACAGTGCCAAGGTGAGCCAACCAACTCAGAGTGATGCACTGATGATGATTTGTGGATTGTCTGACGTTGGATGGAGCGAAATAGCTCCTCGATGATTCAGTCTGGGGAAATGCAATCCCAATGTCCCCTGCCTCCAGGTTGCTACCAATATTTTTTCGGTTGGGTTCGGTGGGCAGGCTGGAAGGGGTTTGTCAGCTTGACGGGACGGAACGGAACGGACATGAAGGAACGGACGGAATAGAACGGGAGTTTGGACGAGAGTGAACGGGCAGAATTTCTTCTTGACATGGAAGGCTTGTCTGTTGTGTGGTGATGTTGGTTTGCCTGGTTCGGCACGTCGAACCTAGCACCCTGCCAATATGCCACGTTCGTCTGTCATTGGGCCATGTACCAGACCACACTCCATCACAAAGGAGGTTCGTGGACTTTTGAGGTTTGTTTCTGAGATGCAAGTTTATGATAGTGTATGTTTTACAAATGATTAGTGTAGACACGTTGTAGTTATAACATTTTAAGACTCAGCCCGTTCAACGGCAACCGCCACGTCACCAATAAGCTCAATAACAGCTCTGAGAAAGGTCTGGCCGCTTCGGGACTTGCCAGGCCGTTTCCGTGCCTCCAGCCAGCCTCGGTTCGCCTTACCTCAGAGGTTTCCAACTACCAGTTCAGCCCTTCCGTACCTATCTTCAGAGAGCATCACCAGACCTCACCGCAAGCACGTCCTCGCAAGGCCTGTCAATCTGGCTCGGATTATCACAACAAGCTGGTTCGGGTGGTCGCGCCGCTATATGCAGACATTTGACATTGATTGATGGCAATCCGTCGCACCACGAGAATTGTGCTGCACGTGACGAAGATGAGGGGGGAGTCAGATCGGGACACACATCTTCCCTTCAGCTCTCATTTGTCCCTAGTCCCCCTGACTTCCACTCCCATGCAAGGTTTGCTTGCAGTGCTCAACACTTGACGTTCCTGGCGCCACCACTCTTCGTAGTATCAGATCAGGCATAAGTCGCGCAGCAATGGCAGTAGAGAAACCGCCGTGCCCCGAGGAAACTATGTCGGCTTTGCAGTAGAAACTGGAGACTATGTCGTGTTTGCATTAGAAACTAAGTTGAAGTACAGCGGGTTCAGATTGCTTACTTACTTCCGTGACTCCCTCGTACATAGACTTATCGGAAAGGTCTAGTGTGTAGCAGCCATCGCCCATCCGTTTTGTACGGAGTAGAGCTAGCAATGGCAGTCAACGTTACCCTTTCGGAACCAGAACGAGCAGCTCTCGCCAACAAGATGGACTATCTCAAACGTCTCCATAACGCTGACGACGAGGACGACAGTAACGAGGATGATTCCGACGAGGGATCAGGCGAAAGCAGGATAATCAGGCGAGACCCGATCAAGAGCAGCGATAGCAGCAGCGGCGAAGGTTCCGATGACGGAACAAACAGCTCTGACGACGGCGGCCCCATCGACGGCACTTGCGGCGACACTTCCGGTAACGGCACTAGCGGTGACGCTCCTGTCGGTTCGGCCGAGCCTGGCCCCAGCCCTGCCGCATCCACGACCCGGATCGGCGAAAGCGGTGGGTTCACCTTCAGTCGAGACTACTTCAACGCGCTGTCAGCGGCTCGCGACGCCAGCAGCAGCATCACCAGCAGGCGATCAAGTCTAGGCTCGTCTTTGGCCGCGAAACGGGAGAAGCAGGTGGAGAGCCGATTCTTGGAAATAGAGATGCAGAGCCGGTCGTCGGTCGAGTCTTCCCAGGCTGCTGGTGCGCATGACTGGCGCGCGGCTCTCAAAGCCCGGGGCCGTACTTTCCAGTCGGCGACGCAAGACTGGGGCGCGAAGCAGGAGCAGCATCAGCAAGTGGAGAGTCGCGAGGGGGCCTTGGATGCAGGCAGGTTCACAAGCGGAAACGGGCCGTCGGAAACTGGAACCGGAAGCAGGTTTTCCGTCGTGAGCAAGGGGATGTTTAACGACAAACCCTCGTCTTTTGACGGCAACGGTTCAGCGATCGATGCGGCGTACAACGCGGCGGCGTCGCAAAGCGAGCGCGAGGCTTGTGAACCGCGCGCTGACAGCTCCGCCGGCTCCGCGATGGAGGAGGTGCGACGCGTGGAGCGGAAGATGGAAGCCATGGAAGCAATAGAAGCCAAGCAAGGCATCCCAGCGAAGCAACGAAAACTTGGACTGGATTGCGCTTCTGAGTCGGAGCGGGCGGTTGACGCGGATCGGTCTCTCGACTCGAACGCCGTCGAACGTAAAAGGGAAGCCATGGATCGCACCATCGAGTCGCCTGAGTTGCTGAACAAAGCGGCCATGGAACGAGCGATTGAAGCCATGGAACGAATCGGCGCGAGTGGCGGCGGGGACGGCGGAGGCGGAGGGGACGAGGGAGCTGGGGAAAGAGCCGGTGAGGGGGAAAGCGGATACGCGGAGGGGGGGCGGCCGCGGGGGAGGGGGAAAGATGTGGCGGAACTCGAGAAGGAGGTTGAAGAGGCGAAGCAAGCGTCGCACCGCATAGCCGTTATGTTCTACCAGCAAGACCAGGAACTTAAAGACCTAAGAGAGAATCACCTGGCGCTCCAGGAGGACCACAAGCGCATATCGGTTCAGCTACAAGCGGCGCAGGCGGAGACGGACGAGCTGTGGAACCAGCTGGCGGCGGCGTCCCGCCAGAAGGAGGCGGCGGAAGCAACGGCGGCGGAACTGCGCCTGAAGATCCGCATGCTCGCGGGGAACGTGGAGGAGCTGGAGGGGGAAGCGGAGGCCGCCGGGGGGTGGGGCGGCGGGGGGGGAGGCGGAAGCGGAGGCGGAGGCGGAGGCGGGGGAGCGGTTGGCGGAACGACTGCCGTGGAGGGGGCGAGCAGTTTAGAGTCTGATTTGGTGGGCTTGCGGAAGCTCAAGGAGCTGGAATGGGAGTTAATATCCGCGCGAAGCGCGCGCGACCGCGCTATGACCGTCTTGGCGGGGATGAGAGAGGAGTGGAATAATCTCCGCAAACTGCGCTTGCAGTTAGACGCGCTGACGGCTAGCAGGGAAGTTGCGGGCAGTCCTGCCAGCGCCAACGGCGGCCGCGGTGCTCATGCGGCGGACCGCACAGCCAGGGGAAAATTTTCCTGGGAAGACGTGCGGGGAAGGGCATATGGCGGAAATAGACGGGGGGAGGAGGACACGGGGGAAGCGGGAGGGGAGGAGCTGTTGAAGGGAGTGGAGGCGGAAATTGCGGAGGAGGCGGACAAGTGGCGGAAGGTGGTTGGTCAGCTGCAGGAGGACCACGTGCGCGTAGTCGTGGAGGCGCAAGACGCGGCGGAGAAATGCGCGGGCGCGCGGAGGCAGGCGGAAGCCGCCACTGAAGAAGCGATGCGGCTTAGGCGGGATATCGAGCGCGTAAGAGAGGAGAAGACTATAGCGGAGGAGGATCTGAGAGATTTCCGTAAAGGATGGAAAGATCTGGCCGGACATTTAGAGACGTTTGCCGCTAAGGTGAGCGAAATGGATGCGGAATTAGCGGTGAAGAGGAAGGAGAGGGAAGTGATGGCGATTGAGATCGAACGGTCCGCGAAAGAGCGCGATCTGATGGCTGTGGAGATCGGACGGGTGAGAAAGGAGCGAGATTTTATGACGGCGGAGATCGAACGGCTGCTTTCGGAAAGATCGCGATCTGACGGCGCTGGAGATCGAACGGCTGAGCAAAGAGCGTGATTTTATGGCGGCGGAAATGGATCGGCTGAGTAAGGAGCGCGCGGAGGCGGAAGAATCGGCGGAACGCGCGCGGGCGGAAATGTGGGGGGAGCGGGAGAAGCGGCTTGGGGAAGTGCAAGAAGCGGAGGAAAAAGCGCGGCGAATTCGCGAACGCGCAGGGAACGCGTTAGAAGCATACGCGGAAGAGAGAAAAGAGATTGAGAACATGTTACTGCACCGAGTGCAAACCTTACAATCGGCAGTGGAGGAATTGCAAGGGCAGCTTAATGATGTTCAAGGCGCTAAAACCAGGCTCGCGCACGCCGCGGGCGCATTCATGCGGGAATTTCAGTACACTGGCGCTGGGGGAGGGGGAGGCGGAGCGGAAGGAGGAAGGTTTCGGGAGGCAGCGAACGAATATAACAAGGAAGCTGGGGGTTCAAGGGGAATGGCCGCAGGGCGGGTCTTTTTGGATGATGCGGGAGGGAGGTTGGGAAATCTTGGCCCTCCATCTACTGGAGATGGTTTGGGGTTCAAAATCGGACGGTCCTTAGAGCAGGGCTTGTCTGGCCGGCAGATAATTGAAGAGCTGGATTATCTTTCTGATGGGGGAGGCTTGGGAGGTGGCAATGGAGGCTCGGCAGGATGCCGAGCCTCTGGTGCAGGTCGGGATGAGACGGTCCGAGGGATGATTGGTCAAAGGGGCGTCGGGTCAAGAAGTGGTGGCCGAGGGTCGATGGGAGTTGCAGCAGCAGCAGTAGTGACTGGTGTAGACTATGGAACATCATCCACAGGGGGTTCTGGTGGTGGTGGTGGTGGTGGTGGTGGTGGTGGTGCAAGGCGGTGGAGTGCAGCAGCTGAGCTTGAGCAAGCTTTACAGGCAGATAGGGGTTGTAGTGGTGGGATGGGCAGCATGGATGATGACACGAGGTCAACATGCAGTGGAGGCAGCTCAAGGAGGGCTTATGGCGGAGGGATGATGGGTGCAGGAGGAGGGGGAGGAGGAGGAGGGTATGGTGGTGGTGGTGCAGGGACAGGGTTGCAGCCTAGGACCCCGAGGGAGAGTGCACGGGCTGGCGTGTTTTCAGATGCATATGCTGCTCCTCGTTCGGGTATGCATTTTTCTTCTCACACCTACATCCCGCTGCCACTCTCATTTGCACTCATTTCTCAATTCCCCCCTCCCTACCACCTACTTTTCTTTGTCTTTAATCCTTATCATTATCTGTCCATCCCTCCTTTTCCCTGCCATGATTCTTCCTCTCCCCTCCAGGATCTAGAGGGAAAGGGCGGACTACGTGGTTCCCTGAACGATGACGACGGTTCTGATGCTGTTTCAATCGCTGCCTCGATTCGTCGGGAGAGAGAACGGGAGCGAGAGCGGGACCGCAGTACCGAGTATTTGCAGCAGTGCGATCGTGAGCGTCGATTCCGGGATGAGAGGGAGGACGATGACAGGATCTCTGTCCATGCTCTGGAGAAGTATGCACCGAATCTGGCTCGTAGTTTGAACGTTGGCAGCATTGCATCTTCGGGAGTAGCTGGAGGAAGTAGGCGTGGGGTTGACGACGATGAAGATGCCAGGAGTGTTAGCAGTCGTAAGTCTTGTCTCTCAGGTGCTTCAAGAGGGAGTAGGTACTCCACCACTTCATCTGGTGGTGCTGCAACAGTGGCAAGAGGAAGGACTGGAATGGGCGGTGCTACGAGTTTAATGTCTCCGAGGGATCATTCAACGCTCTACTAGTGGAGTGACGTGTTCCTGATGTCCAGATAATATGTAGTTATTGTTCGGATGATCTAGTATGTGTGCCTGCATCCCGTTTTGTATTTATTGGATTAGGACCACTTAAGAGAAACGTGTTGCACCTTATTTTTTTTCCAACGGAAATGTATGGGTCCAACGTTGTAATATCACCATTCCGCACCCATTGTATGTTTACGGGGCTGCTCCGGCGCGTATAATTTGGACATTCAAATTGAGACTTCAAGATCACGCAGCCCTCACCTAGCCATATCTTTCGCCGGTTCGAAGACTCCGAGCCTCACGTTCAAATTTCAAGACAAGCGACTCGTTTTCCCGCCACGCATGGCCCTAGTTTTCTCTAATAGCCACCGTGCCGAACCGAACCACCCACCAGGGTCGAACTGGCCGTGGAGACTCGTGGCCGTGCTTTGACCCATGCCTCAGCGTGCGGTACGGGTGCATCCCCTTGGTTTTCTCATCTCTTTTTCCAAGCCCTTGGCTCTCAGAGGCATGCCCTTGGGATTTGCTTTTGAACACAGTTTCCAGGTTCCACGGTTCTACCATCTCAAGGCTGAGCAGCCTTGCAGGGAAAGGCAAGAGTCTAACGTTAAGTTAGAATTTCTAGCGGGATATCCGGATTGCTATTTCGGGCTGTGCTAGTCGATTAGCATTTATGTAGAAAACCGTATGCTATTTTGCGCGCTCATTCGTAGCCCTGCAGCTTAGTACAGGAAACAGAAAAAGAGAATGGCGGGGGATTCAAGCGATGACGAGGTAAGTCACAGTACCGATAACTCACTAAATATATTTTTCTTTTCTTTGTTAGTCATCATGAGCAACCTTACGGTTTACTGAACGCGCCTTCGCTGTTTCGCTTGGTCGCAGTATATTCCCGAGGAGGCGACACCAAAAAGCGCAAAGAAGCGTAAGGCCCCGAGCAGCACTCCACGGACCACTAAAAAAGCAGCTCGCACCACCGCCGCTTCGCCAGCAACCCCCTTACCCTCCGCGGACGCACCCCCATTTGTAGAAACCCCCAACGCCGTCGGTCCAGATGGGAAGACGATCGAGGAGACTTATCAGCGCAAGACGCCGCTAGAGCACGTGCTCCTTCGCCCGGACACGTACATAGGCTCGGTGCAGACGCACGTGGGTCCGCAGTGGGTTTGGGAGCAGGGTCGGATGGTACATCGCGAGGTTCGGATGGTTCCGGGGCTGTATAAGATATTCGACGAGATTCTGGTGAATGCGGCGGATAACAAACAGCGCGACCCGAGCATGGATGCTATCAAAGTCACCATCGATACTGCCAAGAATAAAATCCAGGTAATTTTTTCGTGGTGTACTGATGAGTCCGTGAGACTGAGGCCATTGTCACTGATAGGTGATGTCTATTAGACCGCTAGTCAGTGGACCTACATCTTTGTGCTTGTCTGAGCACACTCTGCATATTTGTGGATATGCGTATATAGACTATCTCCAGCTGCATTTTCTCCAGATGTACCTATCGTCGTGCATGTGTATGAAGCAACGGGAGAGGGATTTTCTCAAAGGTCCTCGTAAGGGAGATAGATTTCGTTTTGAGATACACCATGCGTCTTGAATTTACCCGTCCCTGGATCTCCCCGCAAGTGTGGAACAACGGCCGCGGAATTCCTGTGGAGGTGCACGCGAAGGAGAGATGCTACGTGCCGGAGCTGATCTTCGGGCACCTGCTACCTTAGCCTTGAACCGCACTTCATGATCTTTATGCACCACGCCCGACCACTCGCAGGTGTGGAACAACGGCCGCGGAATTCCTGTGGAGGTGCACGCGAAGGAGGGGTGCTACGTGCCGGAGCTGATCTTCGGGCATTTGCTCACGAGCAGCAACTATGATGACTCGGCGCGCAAGACCACGGGCGGGCGCAACGGGTACGGCGCGAAGCTGGCGAACATCTTCAGCACGGAGTTTGTGGTGGAGACGGCCGACGGCAGCCGGCAGAAGAAGTACAAGCAGGTGCGTGGTGCAGGGCTCACCTACATTTTATCCATCATCACCTCCATCACCTTCCAATTGAACTTGGTTCCTTCTTTCCCCTGCCTATATCTCCTTCCTTTGCTCTCATCAGGTATTTTTGAAGGACATGAGCGTCAAGAAGCCTGCAGTAATTGAGGACTGCAAGCCCACCGACGACTTCACCTCCATCACCTTCCACCCGGACTTGGTTTCTTCATCCCCTTCCCCCTTCTTCCCCTGCCTCTACCATCTCCCTGTTCCTCTCACCAGATCTTTTCGCAGAACATGAGCGTCAAGAAGGCCCCAGTAATCAAGGACTGCAAGCCCACCGACAATTTCACATCCATCACCTTCCACCCAGACTTGGCCAAATTCGGCCTTGCCTCTCTAGACGCAGACCACGTGGCACTCATGAGCCGACGTGTCGTTGACGTGGCAGGGTGCCTGGGGAAATCCGTTAAGGTCATGCTGAATGGCACCCGCGTGCCTGTGAAATCGTTTGCGGATTACGCGGGGTTGTATCTCGCGCCTCCCCCGCTGCCCACCCCGCAACCCCCCGCCACTCCGCCTTCGTCAGGAGAAGGGGGCAGCGGAGGGGAAGGCGGGGAGGGGACAGGGGCGGAAGGAGGAGTGTCTGCAGCAGAAGCGACAGCAGCAGTAGCTGCAGCTGCTGCTCATCCTTCAACTCATGAGAAGCTCCCAAGGTCTGTGTTTCTATAGCTGACCGCCCGTGAAACTCCTAAGAGTTTGCGTTGACACCATAACTCGTTGGGGTGAGCTATCTGATGGCGTTGGTCTTGCCTAAGTTCACTAGCCGCATTACTCCGGGTCATTTTTTTATGAGAGATTAAACCACAACTGTGCCCGTGACTCGCAACTAACGGCCGCCATCTGATTCTGCAGGATCCACGAGAGGGTGAATGACTGCTGGGAAGTGTGTGTGTCGACGAGCGATGGGCAGTTTCAACAGGTATCATCAGCTGGGGTGGGAAGAGAGGGGGTTGAAGGGGGGGGGAAGGGATGAGTATCATTTGGGAGGAAGGGCCACGCGAGTTCTAGAAGGTTAACGACTGCTGGGAGGTGTGTGTGTCGACGAGCGATGGGCAGTTTCAACAGGTATCATCAGCTGGGGTGGGAAGAGAGGGGGTTGAAGGGGGGGGGGAAGGGATGAGTATCATTTGGGAGGAAGGGCCACGCGAGTTCTAGAAGGTTAACGACTGCTGGGAGGTGTGTGTGTCGACGAGCGATGGGCAGTTTCAACAGGTATCATCAGCTGGGGTGGGAAGAGAGGGGGTTGAAGGGGGGGGGGAAGGGATGAGTATCATTTGGGAGGAAGGGCCACGCGAGTTCTAGAAGGTTAACGACTGCTGGGAGGTGTGTGTGTCGACGAGCGATGGGCAGTTTCAACAGGTATCATCATTGCAAGGGTGGGACTGAGGAAAGGGGATGGATGGAGAGGGGCCAGGGGGGACCTCGATGGGAGGGGGATGGATGGGCATGCGTAGAGAGATGACTGCTGGGATTGTGTGTGTGCTTGTGTGTGTGTGCGCACGCTGGCCTGTGCATGGGTGCCTACCTGGGATAGCCAGTTCCAAGCCTGAGCCCATGCCTGATCCGATGCCTGATTCCTTACCTGCAGGTCAGCTTCGTGAACGCCATCGCGACCACGAGAGGAGGAACGCACGTGAACATGGTATCAGAGCAGATCGTGCGGTACCTTCTGGATAAGGCGCAGAAGAAGGCCGCCACTGGCAAGCACGGGTCCGCCAGTGGCGCTGCTGCCATCAAACCGCACCAGGTGAGGCTGTGGAGTGGTGGGAAGGAGAGAACTCTGTGTGTTGCTTGCTGGTTCATCAACTGTCAGGTGGTTTTGAGACGTCCCTTTGCATTGCCTTCTCGGCCCTCCCTCTCCCCCTCTCAGATGCGCAGTCAGCTGTGCGTGCCTGTAAACTGCCTGGTTGTGCAACTGAGACGTCTGAAAGCGCTTCCTTCCCGTTTGCCCCTCCCTCTCTCGTTCTCCCCGTCGTCTGCATGGTTGTGCGGTGTGAAGCGCCTAATCATTGTGTAGTGATGCCTGGGTACACTTCCTTACCAGTTCCCTCCCCGCTCGCCTTCCCTTCCCCCTTCCACCATCAACCCATTTGTTCCTCCCTCCTCACAGGTGCGCAGTCAGCTATGGGTGTTTGTGAACTGCCTCGTGGTGAATCCGGCCTTTGACTCGCAGACCAACAAAACGCTCAAAGCACGCTCCTCTGTGCTCTTCCTTGATTTTTTTTTTTTTTGCCTATCCACCCCCCCCGCCCTCTGTGCAGGTGCGCAGTCAGCTATGGGTGTTCGTGAACTGCCTTGTGGTGAATCCAGCCTTTGACTCGCAGACCAAGGAGACACTCAACACACGCCCCTCTGACTTCGGCTCCAAGTGCCACCTCTCTGAAGACTTTCTCAAGAAAGGTGGGAAAGCATGCAACGGTGTGGAATCAACGGAAGGAATGAGATTTATTATGTGCCTCTTGAGACACTCAACACACACCCCTCTGACTTTGGCTCCAAGTGCCACGTCTCTGAAGACTTTCTCAAGAAAGGTACAAGAGTGCGCACAATGGAATGGAAGGGATGTTATCTGTGAGGTACCTTTAGAGACGCTCAACACACAACCCACTCTGACTTAAGACTCAGCGCCACCTCTCTGGGGTTTTCCTCAAGAAAGGCATGTAAGCATGCTTAATGGGAGGGGAATGGGTTTTCAAGGCGCCTAAACAATATCGCCCCAAGATTCTACTGCCATCTTCTTGTTCTCTCTCTCTCTCCCTTTCACACTCCAGCAGTCAAGGCCAATTGCGACATAGTGGAGCATCTGCTGCCGCTAGCGGCGCACAAGCAAACCAAAGGTCTGAAGCGCAGCGACGGCAGAAAGGGGCAGCTCACATTCACATTCTGCTCTTTGCACCCTCCCCATGCAAACTCCGCAAACTCGGCTTTCTCCCTTGCAGCAGTTGCTGCCAAGTGCGGCATAGTGGAGCATTTGTTGTCGCTAGCAGCGCACAAGCAGACAAAGGACCTCCAGCGCAGCGACGGCAGCAAGAGGCAGGGAGTAATCGTTCTCCCCTTTCTAAACCACCCTCCCTGTCTCTCTTCCCCTTTTCACCCCGCCAGTGGCTGCCAAGTGCGGCATAGTGGAGCATCTGCTATCCTTAGCAGCGCACAAGCAGACCAAGGATCTCAAGCGCAGCGATGGCAGCAAGAGGCAGCGCGTGTCGGGCATAACGAAGCTGGATGACGCGAATGAAGCTGGTGGCAGGAACGCGGAGCACTGCACCCTCATACTGACGGAAGGGGACTCTGCTAAGACTCTTGCGGTGAGAGAGTCACTTTGATGGTTTTAGGGAGGGTAGGAAGAAAAAGGGGGGGATGGGGGGGGTGAAGGTGGAGGCGGCACATATCAGGCATGGTGAAGCTGGATGATGCCAATGAGGCAGGCAGCAGGAACGTGGAGCACTGCACTTAGATCTGGATGTGGTTCACGGCTAGTACAGCTTGTTTCCCTTGCGAGACGCACTATTAAACGTGAATGATGCATCAGTAAAGATGAGCGTTGTGGGTTACAGAAATGACTCGTCCTTTTCTCCCCTGTCCCTCCGTCCAGGTGTCAGGGCTGAGTGTGGTGGGTCGCGATCGCTACGGCGTGTTCCCCTTGCGAGGCAAGCTGTTGAATGTGAGGGATGCGTCGCACAGGCAGATGATGGAGAACACAGAGATAGGCCATTTGAAGCAGATCCTGGGGCTGCAGCATGGGAAGAATTACGAGAGCGTGAAGGCTCTGCGATACGGACACCTCATGATCATGACCGACCAGGTGAGTGATGTGATTCCAGGGATGGCTGTAGGGAAGGGTGGCAGGGGCAGGTGGTGAGGACGCATCGCACCGGCAGATGATGGAGAACACGGACGTAGGCCATTTGAAGCAGATCCTGGGGCTGCAGCATGGGAAGAACTATGAGAGCGTGAAGGCTCTTAGATACGGGCACCTCATGATCATGACTGACCAGGTGAGACCTCACGATGGCGCAAAGAGGAATGCTGTTGAGCGTGAGGGATGCATCACACCGGCAGATGATGGAGACACAGAAATAGGCCATCTGAAGCAGATCCTGGGGCTGCAGCATGGGAAGAACTACGAGAGCGTGAAGCCACTGCGATACGGACACCTCATGATCATGACCGACCAGGTTAATGGTGTGATTCCAGAGATGGCGGTAGGGAAATGTGGCAGGGGAAGGTGGTGAGGGACGCGTTGCACCGGCAGATGATGGAGAACACAGAGATACGGCACCTGAAGCAGATTCTGTTTTTTTTTAGTCGACTCAAAAAATTGGAGAACACAGAGATAGGCCATCTGAAGCAGATCCTGGGGCTGCAGCACAGGAAGAATTATTAGCGCGTGAAGGCACTGCGATACGGACACCTCATGATCATGACCGACCAGGTGAGAGTATGAGGGACGCTGGGCATCACGGCAAGTGCTGCGATAGTGTTTAGGCGCTGTGATACGGGCATTTATGATCCAGACAGACCAGGTTAGGGTGGGTGTTAATGTGTGTGTGTGCGTGTGAATGTGTGTGTGTGTGTGTGTGTGTGTGTGTGTGTGTGTGTGTGTGGATGTGTGTTGTGGATGGTGGCAAGGGTTGGTGCAACAGGACGGTGTGACAGGATTCTTTCTTCCCATCCTCCCCTTCCCCCTTCTATCCCGCCTACCCCAATCCTGCCCTTCTTCACCACACCACACCACACCACACCACACCACACCACCACTCATTTTCAGCCTTTTCTTTCTCTCTGCTTCCGTCCACCTATGCACTTTTCCTTTTTCAGGATCACGATGGGTCCCACATAAAAGGTCTTCTGATCAACCTACTCATGCTGGCCGTCCCTGCACAAGCACCCCTCCTTCCTCCTTGTCTTCTCTTCCCGTCCCTTTCCCCTATCCAATTCACCAGGATCACGACGGGTACCACATCAAGGGACTTCTGATCAACCTCCTGCACTCATGCTGGCCGTCCCTGCTCAAGCACCCCTCCTTCCTTCACGAACTCGTCATGACTCACACCCATTCTTGTCTCGCACCTTCCCTCCCGCACATGCCCATCCCCCTATCCAATCCGTCACGTCAGGACCATGACAGGTCCCACATCAAGGGTCTTCTCATCAACCTCCTGCACTCCTGCTGGCCGTCCCTACTCAAGCACCCCTCCTTCCTCCGCGGATTCATCACCACTCGCACCCATCCACCCCTTCTCCTTTTCGTTCCACTCCACCCATTTGATCCACCAGGACCACGACGGGTCCCACATCAAGGGACTTCTTATAAACCTTCTGCACTCCTGCTGGCCCTCCCTGCTCAAGCACCCCTCCTTCCTGCGCGAGTTCATCACCCCAATCGTCAAAGCCACCGGCCCCAGGGGCCGCACCCTCGCCTTCTACACCATACCTGAGTACGAGGCTTGGAAACGGACCTTAGGCTCGGACGCGAGGCAGTGGAAGGTGAAGTACTACAAGGGTCTGGGCACGAGCACGCCCAAGGAGGCCAAGGAGTATTTTGCGCAGCTGGACCGGCATCGCAAGGACTTTGAGTGGCAAGGGGAGGGCGACGGGGAGCGGATCGAGATGGCGTTTAGTAAGAAGGCTGTGGATGCAAGAAAGCAGTGGCTGCGCTCCTATGAGGTGAGCGGAAGGGTGGGAAGGGGAGAATGGGGAGCGGATCGAGATGGCATTCAGTAAGAAGGCTGTGGATGCGAGAAAGCAGTGGCTGCGGTCCTATGAGGTGAGCGGAAGGGGTGTGAAAAGTGAATTGTGAAAGCAGGGTGTGAAAGAGTGCAGAAGGGACTTGGGGGTGGGGGAGGGCGACGGGGAGAGGATTGAGATGGCGTTCAGTAAGAAGGCAGTGGATGCCCGGAAGCATTGGCTGCGCTCCTATGAGGTGAGCGGAGGGGTGTGAAAGGGGATTGCGAAAGCGGGGTGTGAAAGAGTGCGGGAGGGATTGTCTGTTCCCTGTGGACACGGAACTCATCCTCTACTCCATTGCCGACAACATGGGCTCCATCCCCTCCGTTGTCGATGGGCTGGCTGAACCACTCATACATACCCCCTCCCTGCCCCACCCTGGCAGTTCGATCGCACACCCTCCTTTTCCTTCCTCCAAATCCCCTGTTCACCAGTTTCTCGCCTCCCATCCCCCCTCCTGTCTCCCATTTCCCCCAGCCCGGCACGTACCTGGATCAGACGGCGCAGCGCATCAGCTACAGTGACTTTGTGGACACGGAGCTCATCCTCTACACAACATGCGCTCCATCCCCTCCGTTGTCGATGGGCTGGCTGAACCGCTCATGCCCTCCTCCCTGCCCGTACCCATGCTGTTGACTGTCCACCCTTCCAACCCTTACTCCGAAGCCCCTGTTCCCCCATCTTCTGTCTCCCTTCTCCCCTGGTCCTTCCAACCCCAGCCCGGCACGTACCTGGACCAGACGGCGCAGCGCATCAGCTACAGCGACTTTGTGGACAAGGAGCTCATCCTCTACTCGCTCGCTGACAACATGCGCTCCATCCCCTCCGTTGTCGATGGGCTGAAGCCGGGCCAGCGCAAGATCCTGTTCTCATGCTTCAAGCGCAAACTGCATTCAGACATCAAGGTGGGTGGGTGGGATACATGCATGCATGCATTCATGCATGCATGCACAACTCTAGGCGGGGCTTTGTGGACACGGAGCTCATCCTCTACTCCATTGCTGACAACATGCTCTCCATCCCCTCCGTCATTGATGGGCTCAAGCGAGGGCAGAGGAAGATTCTCTTCTCGTGCTTCACACGCAAGCTGCACTCAGATATCAAGGTGGGTGCTGAGCTGAGGCACCACTGTGGCACTATCTTCGTAGGACACCCTTCAGGCCTCACTTGGCATACAACGTGCGATCCATTCTGTCCATGGACGATGGCCTGAAGCTGGGGCGGCAAAAGACCCTCTTCTCCTGATGAGCACTGCTGACGCCAACCCCCCTCCTCTCTCCGCTCTTCTCTCCCTGGCGCTTTCACTCAATCTGTTCATGCAGGTGGCACAGCTGGCAGAATACGTGTTGGAGCATGCAGGGTGCGTGTCGGAGCATGCAGGGTGCGTGTCGGAGCATGCAGGGTGCGTGTCGGAGCATGCAGCATACCAGCACAAGGAACAGAGTCTGATCAGCACTGCTACGCCCCCGTCCTCTCCTCCCCCAATCCCCCGGCCCGTCCCCGTGCCTCTCGATCCTCGTGTGTGAGCAGGTGGCGCAACTGGCTGAGTACGTGTCGCAGCATGCAGCATACCAGCACGGCGAGCAGAGTCTGATGAGCACCATTGTGAACCTCAACCTCCCCACTTTCTCCACCTCTTCCACCTCTGGTGTCCTCTTTGGTATCCTTATGTAGGTAGCACAACTGGCAGGATACGTCTCAGAACATGCGGCATACCACCACGGGGAGCAGAGTCTGATGAGCACCATTGTGAACCTCGCCCAGGACTTTGTGGGCAGCAACAACGTCAACCTGCTCGTACCCTCGGGGCAGTTCGGCACTCGCTTGCAGGTGAGACGAGGAGGCTGCATGCATGCGTGCTGTGGGGTGGATGAGTGGGCCGAGGGCAGAGAGCAGAGAAGAGAGAGCGGGCAGCAGAGAGAAGAGAGCAGGGGAGTCTGATGAGCACCATTGCGAGCCTCGCCTAGGACTTTGTGGGCAGCAACAACATCAACCTGCTCGTGCCCTCTGGGCAGTTCGGCACTCGCTTGCAGGTGAGATGGGGAGGGCAGGAGCAGAGGGCGGAGGGCATGGGGCAGGGAGCAGAGGGTGGGGGACAGAGGGCGGAGGGTAGAGGGCGGAGGGTAGAGGGCGGAGGGTAGAGGGCGGAGGGAAGAGGGCGGACAGCAGGGACCGAAGGCAGCGAAGCCTGGTTTCTTGAGTAACGCATTCCTTGCTTCCATCTCTGTGTCCTGGCCGCCCTTGGTCTCCCTCCTATGGAACGCAGTGACTCAGCGTGCAGGGGACGCAATGACTACACAGCTACAACTACAAGCGCTGGCAGCAGCTGATGTATTTGTGCCCTCTTTCATCTCTCCGCCCTTTCACCCATTTTACTCCCGCCCCTCCCTCCTCCCCCCTCCTCACCCTCCTCTTCCACCTCTCCCTCCTCTCCCTCCTCTCCCTCCTCTCCCTCCTCTCCCTCCTCTCCCTCCTCTCCCTCCTCTCCCTACTCTCACTCCTCTCCAGCCTCTTCCTCCTCTCCCTCCTCTCCCTCCTCTCCCTCCTCTCCCTCCTCTCCCTCCTCTCCCTCCTCTCCCTCCTCTCCCTCCTCTCCCACCTCTCCTTCCTCTTCCTCCTCTCCCTCCTCTCCCTCCTCTCCCTCCTCTCCCTCCTCTCCCTCCTCTCCCTCCTCTCCACCCTCTCTCTCTCCTCCCCCACCTCTCCCTCCTCTCCCACCTTTCCCTCCTCTTCCTCCTCTTCCACCTCTTCCTCCTCTCCCTCCTCTCCCTCCTCTCCCTCCTCTCCACCCTCTCTCCTCTCTCTCTCTCCTCTCCCTCCTCTCCCTCCTCTCCCTCCTCTCCCTCCTCTCCCTCCTCTCCCTCCTATCCCTCCCCTCCCTCCTCTCCCTCCCCTCTCGCCTCTCCCTCTTATCCCTCCTCTCCCTCCTCTCCCTCCTCTCCCTCCTCTCCCTCCTCTCCCTCCTCTCCCTCCTCTTCCTCCTCTCCCTTCTCTCCCTCCTCTCCTTCCTCAACCTCCTCTCCCTCCTCTCCCTCCTCTCCCTCCTCTCCCTCCTCTCGCTCCGCTCCCTCCTCTCCCTCCTCTCCCTCCTCTCCCTCCTCTCCCTCCTCGTCCTCCTCTCTGCCCCTCCCATCTGTCTGTCCCCAGGGTGGCAAGGACGCGGCGAGCCCCAGGTACATCTACACGCGTCTGCACAGGCTGACACGTGTCATCTTCCCAGTGGCTGACGATGCACTGCTGGAGTACCTGGATGACGACGGGCAGAGGATCGAACCCAAGTGGTGAGCAAAGGGGAGAGGGGTGTGGTGGGGGAGGGGTTGGAAGAGGGAAGGAAGGTACGAAATGGAGAACTGCATACTCCAGATGAAGGTTGTAGTGGTGTTGTGTGGTTGTCGATGCCCTCCTGGAATACCTGACGACAGGCAGAGGATCGAGCCCAAGTGGTGAGCAGCAAGATCGGGAGGGGGGAGGTGGGGTTGGGGGGTTGAAGAGGAGCAAGAGAGGTGAGAGATGCATGCGAGGTGTTAGCTTGCGTGGCGTGCCCAACCTGGTGACTTTTGAGTCGACTCAAAAGTTGCCCAACCTGCCTGTGGTTCTGATCAACGGCAGCGTGGGATTGCACGGGGTGATATTAACACACGTAATTCCGCTCCTCGTTATCTCTAACCCTTTCCTTAGCAACTATATACCCTTCCCCCCCACGTTCCGTTTCCTCCTCTCAGGTACATGCCCATCCTGCCTGCCCTCCACGTCAGTGAGGGCATCAATCAGCACCCACTGGGGTGGAGCTCGAACGCGCCCTATGTGCCCCACTACTCACTCCCCTCGTCTTTCCTTTCCCTCCCCAACCAACCCCCAGGTACGTGCCCATCCTGGCCATGGTTCTGATCAACGGGAGTGAAGGAATTGGCACGGGGTTGAGCTCGTATGTGTCGACGTTCAACCCTTTGTCTTGCCCTCCCACCCCTCCCCCTCCCCTTGCTTACCTCTTCCCAGGTATGTGCCTATCCTGCCCATGGTGCTGATCAACGGGAGCGAAGGCATAGGCACAGGGTGGAGCTCGTACGTGCCGACGTTCAACCCGCGGGATGTGGTGGAAAACCTCAAAAGGCGCATGAGAGGCGAACCCATGCTGCCCGTGCACCCCTGGTTCCGTGGCTTCAAGGTGGATTCTGGAAGGAGAATGGGGAAAAGGGTGAGGGGAGGAGAATGGGGAGTTAGGGGATGTCAAGGGTAAATGCTGCGTCTTCCTCCACTTCTTCCTTCTATCCCTTCGCTCTCTGTGCCCCCGCTCTCTGTGTCCCCTTTCTTTGTGACCCTTCTTGCTGCCCTCACCCTATCTTTTGCTGTTCCTCGTTCCTACCTCCCTCTTACCACCCAGGGCTCCATCCAGCTGACGTCAGCGAGGCAGGGGGGAGGCAATTCCTACACCGTGACAGGTGTCGCGTCGCGATTGGCCGCCGCTGGCGGGCGCAAGGGCGAGAAGCAGCCGCAGCAGCAGGGAGTGACAGGTGTTGCGATCACAGAGCTTCCCGTCCGCACGTGGACCCAGAACTACAAGGAGTTTCTAGAAGGGATGATGGGAGGAGCGGGTGGTCATGGTGGTGGGGAGGGAGGGGGTAAGGTGGCTTTGATTAAGGATATGAGGGAGTATCATACTGATACATCGGTTCATTTTGAGGTGGAGTTTACTGCAGAAGGAGCGGCTTATTTCATGGGAGAGGGAGGGACGGTGGGAGCGAGGAGAGGAAGTGCAGCAGCTGCTGCTGCTGCTGCCGCCTCTGCTGCTGCCTCTGCTTCTCTAAGCAGCAGCAGCGGCGGCGGCGGCGGCGGCGGCGGGGGCAGCGACTGCTGCTAGTACTGCTGCTGCAACGGCAGCAGCAGCTGATGGCGCTGCTGCAGGGGTGGGTTTTCCAGAGGGTGAAGATGCTGAAATGGGTGCAAGATCGCCTGGGAGTGCAGACGTAGGGGAGGGGATGAGCGGAGGAGGAGCGGGAGGTGAGGGGGGAGAGAGAGTGGAGGGGCAGGAAGAGGAGGAGGGGGAGGAGGCGAGGAGGGAGAGGGAGGAGAGGAGGGCGCGGGCGCAGTGGGCTGTGATGGAGAAGAGGTTGAAGCTGACGACGACGATGAACACGGGGAATATGCATCTGTTTGATGCAGATGGGCGCATGAAGAAGTACGACAGCCCGGAAGAGAGTAAGTGACGGGGCTGTGGGTGTATGGGTGGGGAGAGCAGGTATGAGAAGTGGCTGTGCGGTGCGGGGAGGAACACGGGGAGGAACACGGGGAACATGCACTTGTTTGATGCAGATGGGCGCATGAAGAAGTACGACAGCCCGGAAGAGAGTGAGTGGAGGGGTGACGGGTGTGTGCGGGTTGGGTTCGGGAGAGGGAGTGAAGGGAGTGAGTGCACAGCGTGTGTGTGTGGGTGGGCAGGGCGGGTGTGGGAGAAGAGGTTTTAGCTGTCTACGACGATGAACACGGGCAACATGCACCTCAGTGATGCTCATGGGCACACGAAGAAATACAACAGCCCAGAACCAAAAGAGAGTGATTCAAGGGATTGTGGGTGTGCCTCTTATCGCCCTTCACTGCCTTCTGCCCTCTCTCTGCTGCTTGCTGTCATCAGTTATCAAGGACTTTTACGGCATCCGCCTGGGGTACTTCGAGCAGAGGAAGGAGCAGCAGCTGGCACAGCTGCGGCACGAGCTGCCCTTCCCTTAACCCCCCTCATCCACCTTACGTGCTTTCCTTTTTACCTCTGCTTGATTGTCATCAGTTATCGAGGACTTCTACAGCATCCGCCTGGGGTACTACGAGCAGAGGAAGAAGGAGCACCAGCTGGCACAGCTGTGGCATGAGCTGACTTCCCCTTACCGCATTCCTGCATCTCTCTCCCTGCTTCTCATCCTCCACAGTCATTGAAGACTTCTATGGCATCCGCCTGGGGTACTACGAGCAGAGGAAGCAGCACCAGCTGGCTCAGCTGCGGCACGAGCTGCTGCGCCTCGACAACCGCGCTCGGTTCGTGCGGGCGGTGATTCAGGGCGACGTGGTGATCACCAACAGGAAGCAGGCGGACATCGTGGCACAGCTCAAGGTGATTGTGGTGTTAGTGATAAACTTGAGGTATCCTAGATGCAGATGCATGCAGCAGCGCTCGCTTCGTGCGGGGGTTGATTCAGGGCGACGTGGTGATCACCAACAGGAAGCAGGCTGGCATCGTGGCACAGCTCAAGGTATGGTTTGGGCTCTTGAGCCGACTCGATAGTCACCTCTGATGCACCAACTGCTGCGGCTGGACACCCGCGCGCGCTTCGTGCGAGCCGTTTAATTCAGTTCAGGGCGATGTGGTGATCACCAAACAGGAAGCAGGCACATTATGTCACAACTCGAGAATCGAAGCTCTGGGGCCCAGGCGTGTGAAGCAGCCGCGGATTGTCCTGGCTGTGGTCGAGGTGCTTGTACTGCTTGCCTCTTCGTATTTTTCCTGTTACACCCTCCCAGGCCAGTGGGAGGGCCACTCCCCCGTCACATCCTCCTTCATCCCACCATCACCCCCGCCCTCCCTCCCTTCATCTCCCCCCATTTCCTCGTGACCTGCCCCAGACCCGTGGTTTCACCCCCTTAAACAAGGGTTATTCTTGTCTCATCCTCCCAGCCCCCACCTCCCCTCCTCCTCCTATCCCTTCTTGACCTGGCCTCAGGCCTGTAGCTTCGCTTCACCCTCCTCCCCAGGGGCCACTCCTCCAGCTCATCCTCCTCTTACCCCCGTCCGCCCCTCTTCCCCCCTTACTACCCCCTTTCCCCCCCCACACCTCTCCCCTGCTTGACCTGCTCCAGGCCCGTGGCTTCACCCCTCTCCCCAAGGGTCACGCTGCTGCCCCTGTGGTGGTTGGTGACGTGGACCCAGGCAGCACTGACGTCAGCGCGGATGGGGATGACGTGGAGGTGGAAGACGTGGAAACAACAGCAGGGCAAAAGTCAGGGAAGGGGAAAAACACAACAGCAGCAGCAGGGAAATCAGGAGCTGCAGGAGCCGCAGGAAAAGCAGCAGCAGGAGCAGCAGCGGGAGCATCAGCAGGAGCAGCAGCATCAGCAGGAGCAGCGGCAGCAGCGTATGAGTATCTGCTGGGCATGCCCCTGTGGAGTCTGACGTGGGAGCGCGTGGAGCAGTTGGAGAGGGAGAGGAGAGGCAAGGAGGAGGAGGTGGTGGTGCTGCAGGCCACGTCGCCCCTGCAGCTGTGGGATAGAGATTTGGACTTGTTCCTGGAGACCCTTGAGGTGAGAGGAAGTAGGGTGCCTGTGTGGTGCTGTGTGGTGCTGTGTGGTTCTGCGTGGTGTTGTGTGTATCATCTGTGCATGGGAGGAGGTGGTGGTGCTGCAGGCCACGTCGCCCCTGCAGCTGTGGGATAGAGATTTGGACTTGTTCCTGGAGACCCTTGAGGTGAGGGAGAGTTGTGGGTGTGTGTGTTGTATTTTCTGTGTGCGGTGCTGTGTGCATCATGTGCTGTGGTTGAGTGAGGTGCTGCTGCATGCTACCACACCGCTGCAGCTGTGGGAGAGGGATTTATACCTGTTTCTGGAGACTCCCAAGGTGAGAGATGGAGAGGAGGGGTTGTGCGTGTGTCTATGCATGTTTTGTGCGTGTGGTTGAGTGAGGTGGTGCTTCCTCGGGAGGCGTTAACCCTGCAGCTGTGGGAGAGCAATTGTTTGGACCTGCTTCTGGGGAGTTTTTTGAGACGTCTCATAGCAATTGTTTGGACCTGCTTCTGGAGATTCTTGAGGTGAGGGAGAGTCATGTGCTGCCCTTAGTGGATTCATATTTTTAATGGATTTATGGTGAGAATATCTTTGACCTAGACCATAAACTGCGTGCTTTCGCGTTTGGGAATGTGTTTTTTGTGTGTGCATGTGGCGTGTGTTCTGTGTGTGCATGTGCGTGCATTGGTGTATACGTATGTGTGCGTGTCTGTGAGTGAGTGTGTGTGTGTATGTGTGTGTGCACGATTGTGTGAACAGGAGGTGGAGACAGAGGCGGCTGAAGAGGAGAGGGAGAGGGAACGAGCAGCTAATCAGCACAAGGCACGTGGCAGGAACGCAGCAGGGAGGAAGGGCGGCAAGCAGCAAGCAGGAGGGGCGAGCAGGGGGAAGAAGGCGGGGGTAACTGGGGGAGGGGGGACCGGGGGAGGGGGAGGAGGAGGGGGCAGGGGGAAGGCAAAGGGGGCAGTTGGAGAAACAGGGATTGGGGATGGGGGAAGGCAGGGAGGGGACAGGGCGCAGGGTGGTGTGGGGTTTGGGGAGGAGGAGAAGCAGGGGAAGCAGAAGGCCAAGCAGCAGACATTGCTGGGGACCATGTGGGGTAAGGGGAAGGGGAAGGGGCTGGGAACTGCTTCAAGTGCTGCTGATACTGCTGGTGCTGCTGCTGCTGATACTGCTGGTGGTGGTACTGGTGTTGGTGGTGATACAGGTGGCTTTTCTGCTGCCACTGCTACTAGTCTTGATGCGGACAGGGGAGATGGGCAACAGGTGGAAGGGACTGGCAGTGGAGCAGCGAGTGATGTGAGCAGCGGGGAGAATGAAGAGAAGAGGGAAGGGAGTGCTACGGATGGTAGCGAGGAAATGGATGAGGACGGGGAGGGAGAGGAGGGGAGTGAGAGTGAGGAGGAGGACGATGAGGAGGAAGAGGAGGAGAGCGAGGATGATAGCGACTTCGAACCAATAACAGCAAAGGGTGAGTGCTTGTTGTTGGTTGGAAAACATACTGTTCACCCTTTGCTGTACTGTGAACAGTACAGTTTTCCACAGGGAAGCAGAAAATCTTTGTATTTGGTCCTCTTCTTCCTATTCCCTTGCTTACAGGTTTCTTGTATCGTTGTCCCCCTCCCTTATCCTGCCTGTGTGTGTGTGCAGCTAAAGGCAGGGGTGCAGCGCTAATGGATATGCCAACACCAAGGCAGTCCACTCCCCGCCACTCCTCCCGCCTCACCCGCACCCAAGCAGCAGCAGCAGCACCACCACCACCACCAGCAGCAGCAGCACCACCACCACCAGCAGCAGCAGCAGCAGCAGCAGCAGCAGCAGCTGCTCCTGATGCTGCCTCTCCGCAGCAGTCGAAGGAGCAGGCAGGCACGGAGGCAGAGGAAGACCTAGAGATGTCAGGAGGGCAGGGAGAAGGAGGAGGGGAGCGGGGGGATGTGGATGTAAATCCGTCACCGCCCTTCCCACCGCCATCGCCAGCAGCAGCAGCTGGCATGCGAGAGTCGCCTCCTGTGATTGACATGACATCCTCGGAGGAAGAGGGTGTGGGGGGGTTCGGCTTGCAGGCGGGTGGGGGGCTTCGTCTGGGTGACTCGGTTTCAGATGCAGGCGACACTAGCAATGGCGACGCAAGTCATGGCAACGCTAGCAACGGATCGAATAGTCCAAGTAAGCTCGCCTCAATTGCACGCTCTCACTCATTCGATTCTCTCACATGAATTCGACTGTCTCATCTTTATCCAACCCTCTTTCTTGCCTTGATATTCTTGCTTGTTTCCAAGGAGCCTGTGACGGTTGCCATAACATCCAGATTTGTGCAGTGCTTTCACTCACACAGTCGTCCAGTACCTTTCGTGCTGGTTCCTTAGAATTCTCATGAACCACCTATTCACTCACAATCTTCCCATTCCCCCCTGGGCTGCACCCAACAACAGGTGCTGCCTCTGACCCATACTCTCTCCATGCATCTCCCTCCCCATCCCCACCGCTCTCCACCCCTCTCCACGCATCTTCCACCCCCAATCCCCCCACAAACACAGCCACACCTGTCCCAGCCACCCCACTCCCATCCCGCCGTTCTGCTCGTGCTGTTGCCTCTGCAACGCCTTCTAGTGCAGCAGCAACACCAACAGCAGCAGCAGCAGCAGCAGCACCAGCAGCAGCAGAGACGAGCAGCACGAGCAACACCAGCAGCAGCAGCACCAACACCTACTGCAACCCCTGTGCCTGTGGTACCCTTGGGGCCTGCTGAACCTGCAAGCGAAGCTGCAGCAACTGCCAGTACTCAGACCCCTCTCACGGACGTGCTCAGCGGGGGTAAGGGACAGTCGTTGGCAGGTAAAGGTCGTGGGGGTGGGAGAGGGAGAGGGACAGGTGCGAGGGGGCGAGGAGCGGCGAGTGGGAGAGGAAGAGGGGGGAGGGGAGGAAGAGGAAGAGGAGCAAGAGGAGCAGCTAGTGATAGTGGCAATGGTGGTGGGGGAGGAGGGCCTGTAGAGGTGGTTGATTTGGATGACTAGCACTGTGCTGCAAAAGTTGGGGTTATATGAAAGTAGCCGAGGTGTGGGCTCTGCTGTGAAAGAGTATAATATTCTTTCTTTTGTGTTATGTGTTTTGTCTTGGATAAAGTGGGAATCTTGGGTGCATCAGCCAGCAGCACATGCAGAAGTAGCACAAACTGGGAGCTGTGACACTTGGTCTTGTTTTCAAAGCAGGGGATTTTGTGTGTATGGTACAGTCAGAGGCATGAGAGGTTTTCTTCATGCACGAACATTTGTACCTCCACGTTATACCTTTTCAATTATTGGTTACACTATTCCATCTTACGGTACAATGAGTTTTGTCAGAATGTTATTATTGTCTAGCCTGTAGTGGGGTGCTCTATAGCGAGTACAACCCAGTTAGGGTTTGCTATATGTACCCCAACTGCTGCTAGTGAAACCCCTCTCCTTTCAATCATTCTCACGCTAGTATTTTGACATGCTATCAGAGCAGGTCGACCCCCTTGGGTCGATCCTGTGGGTGGGCCCGCCACCTAACTGCTTCCGCTGCTATTCTGCTTCTCGCACGCCTCGGGCGCGCGCCGTCTTCTTGGCGAAAAATTTTAGGGTTTTTCATCCCGCCGTGCGCTCAGGGCGTACGGCGGTTTTCTGCCCGCCGTGCGCCCCGAGGCGCGCGGCGGTTTCCTGCCCGTCGTGGCGCCCCCGGGGACCTGCGCGCTGCCCCCCGTCGTCCTCCTCCCGTCGCCTCGTCGCGGCGCCCTGGGGGCCCGCGCGTCCCCCCCCTCCCGTCGCCTCGTCGCGGCACCTTGGGGGCCCGCGCGCCGCCCCCTCCCGTCGCCTCGTCGCGGCGCCTAGGGGGCCCGCGCGCGGCCCCTCCCGTCGCCCGTCGAGCCGCCCTCGGGGGCCCGTGCGCGGCCCCCCTCCCGTCACCCGCCGTGGCGCCCTCGGGGGGCCCGCGCCCTGCTTCTTCGTGGCGCCCAAGAGCCACCCCGCTGCCTCCCTTTCCCTCCGTGCCCCGCCCCTGCTGTTTCCCGCGCTCCTGCCTGCGTTAGGGTTTGGGGGTGGCGGGCATGGGGGTGACCGGTGTGGGTAACCTGCGGCTCCTCCTCCTCCGTCTCCCACTGCTGCAGCTGCCGCTGAGGGGGGTGGGTGTGTGGGAGCCGAGGGTTTAGGGTTTAAGGGGGGTGCCGTGGAAGTGGAGCTAGGGTGTCAGCAGGGGGTGTGTGAGAGGGGCGTGGGACGGTCGGGGGAGGTTGCGTGGAGGTAGCCGTCGTGACGCCAGCAGCGCCAGTAGTCCGGATGCCCTCGCGCGTTTCGGTAGCCCAGCGAGCCTGCTTCGCCAGTCGCCTGTGGGTCCGTTGCTCCTGTGTGTGCTCGTCGTAGCCGCGGAGCCAGATACTCCCGTAGTCCGGTGCCCTCGTGCGCTCGGTAGCCACTGTGCGCGCCGCTCCTGTTGCCCGTGTGTCTGCAGCTTCAGTCGGCGCCTTTCATCTTCTCGCCCTCACAGTTTCTCCTCCTCCTCACTTGCCCTCTATGATCACCTCTAGCTTTGCTTATAATTGTGAACTATTGCTATGCCTGCTCATTGTACTGATTACACCCCACTTTGGCTATGGGGGTGTGTCAGAATGTTATTATTGTCTAGCCTGTAGTGGGGTGCTCTATAGCGAGTACAACCCAGTTAGGGTTTGCTATATGTACCCCAACTGCTGCTAGTGAAACCCCTCTCCTTTCAATCATTCTCACGCTAGTATTTTGACAAGTTTGTATGTTGACCAAGTTATGACACTTTCGGTCAGTGTGGTATGTCGCAAATGTAGTGTCAAACACTAGCTTGGCGAGAGGTTCGGCTGTTAACAATTATCTCTAACATGTCATTATTTAGCCCAATGCTTGCAGATGTGCAGCAGCGCACTAAGGCACAACACAAGCTCTTCCCGTTCCGTCCTATTCCCTGGTGCATCATTTGTTGGCCCAATTGTCACTCTTGTCAATACCCACCTCACTCCAGGCCGCAGTCATCCTTTTGGTGCATGCTCATATTATATCGAAACAGCCCCAAGTGCTTCTCCTCCTCCAGCAGCATGTAAGGGTCGATATAACTGTAGCTAGACATTCTAAGAACACTCGAACAAACACTCAAAACCTATCAACCATCCAGCTCAGGATCATAGTTGTCCTTTAGGTACGTGCTCATATCATATGGAATGCGTTCCATGTACTTCTCTTCCTCCTCTAGCAGCACATAAGGGTCGATGTAGCTTGGAGGTTGCCGGCCCTCCCCGTAACTCTTGCCCGGATGCACAAAGTCTGATCCCAGAAACTGGACGCGCAATAAAGGGGATGGACGAAGAACAAGGAAGGTTAGGTTAGTCGGATGCACCTAGTCTAATTCCGGAATTCGGACACGCAATAAAGGGGATGGAATGGGAGTAATTTTGAGGAGCGTAATAGAAGATGCAGAGAGACAGAGCCCAGAAAGTGGACATGCAAATGAAGTGGATGAAAACAGAATGCGGTTATTGTGGGGATTGCAGTGTCAATGCCTGTTTACCAGGTACAGAACGGTGTAGAGAACAACTCACCAGGTACATAGCGGTGAAGACAGTGATGATGGCGACAGCAAAGGGCCAGAGTGGCAGGTAGAAGGAGAGTCCCAGTTTGATCAGCTCTGCTGCTCTTGCTGGTAGACCCTGAGGGGAGAGGTGGGGAGAAGTTGGGAGGGGGACGAAGGAAGAGGGAAGAGGGATTCGAGGCTTGGAGCCAATTTTTGAGTCGACTAAAAAAGGGCCAGAGTGGCAGGTAGAAGGAGAGTCCCAGCTTGATCAGTTCCGCTGCTCTTGCTGGTAAACCCTGAGGGGAGAGGGACGCAGGAAGAGGGAAGAGGAAGCGGGATGAGGAGGCTTGACACTAGATATGGAACTTCCCAAGCATTTAACAGCTCCAAGACCCTCAGTCTCTAAATTCTCTGCCCCTAGATTAAATCCCCGTGGCCCTTGTAGTTACCCCGGTCCTCCCTTCTGCTTATGTTGTTCTGGGCCCTAAATTTCTACTCCATCTCACCTCCAGCCCTTCACTGTTGAGCGCGTTCGAAATCGCCCGCTGGTCGCGCATTCCCGGCCCCCCTCCCGCACCACTTCCACCCGGCCCCCCGCTCCCCGCGTCTGCGCCGGGTGCCTTGCTGGCAGTGTCTGATTGGTTGCTGGAGGACTGGGCCGCGCGCCGGCGCCGCAATTCGCGCATGAATTGCGATTCCGTGGAGGGATTGCTCGAGTTGTCTGCGGGGAGGGTTAACAATGGGTGAGAATGGGTTGACATAGTCCTGTTGGAGCTAAACTGGGTTGAATTGGTTTCTTTGCGGTGAAGAGTGTGTTTACGAAGCGCCTTGAAACATGACGGAGGATCCACGGGAGTGTTTACGAGAGTGTGTTTCCTTTGAGAGTTTTCTGGGGTGCCACGGTTGGTGGATTCTAGAGGGAGGAGTTTGAAGCATGTTTCGTGAACACAACGACGCAACTAGCGCATAGACTGCGGCTCAAAGGAAAATCTTCAGGGGAGGGGTATTGGAGGGAAAACAATGACAGGATGGGCGCAAAGACGAGTGAGGCTCCAAGGCAGTGGCACATACCGTCTGGTTTGTCCGCCATGGCTCGTATCCGCCACCCCGCTGCGCGCCTCGCGCACGTGCCGGAGACAGAGGTGGAGACGCGGCCAATTTGGGCTTCAAGGCGCGTGGAAAGCCGTTGCGAGGAAGTAATGGGGAGCGAGTGTGAACTTGCTGCGAAGGTGCGCGCGGGCGGCATGGCTGCTTGGAGCCCGTGGCGGCATGACTGAGCAGCTGGTGGCGTTGCTGCGCGCGCTGCTAACATGGCGGTGCTGGCGGAGAGATGCTGGCGGAGAGTTGCTGGCGGAGAGATGCTGGCGGAGAGATACTGTTCCCAATCGATTCAGTCTGCTTCAGCGCCGACGGCAGTGGCGAAGTCGCTTCGGATTATTCTGGCAAAAGTTGTCGCTGCAACGAATTAATCGCTTGCGTAATTGACCAGGCAAATCGGATGGGACCAGCGTTGCGATCGCGGAGAGAATTGATGGCCCACTAGCGCGTGGCTGGTAGTACGCTGCAGTGAGCGAGATTCGGCGAAGCTTTATGCTGAAATAGGCGACTGCTTGGGGAAAGTACACATGATGCCCAACCAGTGCACGCGGATTTGCCATGCACCGGATGGAAACGCTGCACCCGATGTTTCCAACCCGGGCAAATGCACCCACGGTACAGACACGTGGATGGCAGGGTACTGTGCACGCGCTTCGAACGATTCTGCACGTGCAGTCCGAAACAAACCAGGCCGACCCTGGTTTTCTCAGTATTTAGGCCAGAAGACACACACACGAAATGTGTGAACGAAACCCGCTTGGCTTCGTAAATGCATTCGCCAAACTTCCCTGCCAGGTAAGCGAGATTCATAGTGCATGTAACAGTCAGACTGGCAGGTTCACCTTGCCACGTGTAACCTGCACTTGTAGGGTACAAGAGCATTAGCAACCAAGCATTGTTCGCCCTGCCCACGTCAGGCGTCCTAATATGTGGTTACAAATCACAGTGCCCCCACCCTCAGACCAAATACACGAAACGGCCGAGTGCTGCCTGGCCGGATGACCCAGCCTTCCCGCCGTCAGCAGCTGCTGGACGCCGGTGTTGGCGCCGTGATGGGCGGGTACACAGACGCGACGGAGTGGATGCGTCTGTGAATGAATTTGACCCCCCCCCCTCGAAAGAGCAAAAGGCACTTTGATGTGCTCGTGTGTTCACTCCTTGTGCACCTTTGGGAACGGGTCTCTGTGCTGCACACAATTGACGGTGGGGGCCAGGTGGGAGATTCCCATTGGAGGTTCGACTGGTTTGTATGTTTCTTACTAAGTTAAACATTTGATGTGGATGGAGGGTGGATTGTTCTTGCAATCGTAAGGTAACCAAAAACACACACTAACGACAAGGAGTGCCAACTGTTACTGTTACGAATCAGACAAAATGGGTGGTTACCAGTATCTGCATTGATGCACATATAAGGTGTAACGAAACATACGAACAGCCCACGAAATGAAGGTGTAGCTTACATACCCCCTTCACAAGGCAACCGGGAGGGGCTCAAACGGGCATCAATTGTAGGACGTTCGCTGAGAGACTGTTGAGTGGCGACAGACAGACGACTCGACAGCATAGGGGGGAAGAAGTGCGGAGCGGGGTGTGAAAACGCGGCCAGCTGTCCGCTTGGGATAAGCTGGGGGAAAGCTGGGTGAAGTGAACGTGGTCGACATTGGAAGCCTCGAAAGATCGACAATTCAACTGACGCCACGTCAGATCCATGTGCACATCGGAGGATCTCCAGAAGCATTCACCTACGCCAATCAGACAAATTTACAGGTCATGACGAGGTGGAGCTGACAACAGAATGTACGCGATAGAGTATCAACGGCACGAAACCAATTTAAATCACCTGCTTTAGCGATTATGGTACAAGGTATCACAAATCCGAGAAGCATATAATAAAACAATACTGAACAGAGCCCGGTTCTCAAGGCATTCAAAGCAACCCATCAGAACTAGAGAATTAGTGTTCAAAGAACAGGGGAGCGGCTGCTAAAGCAGCCGTGGCGAGAAGGTTGAGCAGGATGTGAAGCGTGGGTGCCAGCGTCTCACGTAGAGTGCCACCAACCCTGAATCAAGTCACCATTGTACCGTCAAGAAAACGACAAAGGCAAAAAAAAAAAGGTCTATTTGGAGATCCCATGCACACGGAAAAAAGGCGGCAAATTACAAACAGATACACCCATGTACTGCTTACGTGTCGCCAGTGAAGGTGGCCTTGTGTGCTTCACTCCCAGTCCATATTGAAATCACTTTTGGGAATTCTCAGAAGGGATCACATTCGCTGCTTACATGTCACCAGTGATGGTGGCCTTGAGTGCTTCACTCCCAGGCCACAATGAAATCACTTTTGGGAATTCTCATAAGTGATGCACTGCTTACGAGTCACCAGTGATGGTGGCCTTGTGTGCTTCGCTTCCCGGCCCTCCCAGCTGCCCTGCTTCCACCACGTCCCTGGCGCCCCTCCACGCACTGCCTGCCCCGTTGAAGAGCGCCACCAGCAGCAGCGTTACCAGCACCGCAACCAGCAGCAGCGCCGCCACCGCTCTCGCTCCGAGAAGAGGCTGGAGGGTGGCCTTTCCCACTGACCGCACTATGATGCCTGTGAGGGGAGGGGGTTGTGAGGGAGGGGAGAGAAGGGAGATGCGGGTAGGATGGAAAAGGGGGTGTGTTTAAAAAGGGGAAACTGGAGCAAGGAAATGGGCCAGCGCGCACAGAAATACGACAAGGCAAAAAAAAAAAAAAAAAAACTGCAGGATATTCAACATACCCATGGCGATTAGTGCGGCGACAGCAAGCAGTCCTGGCAGCAGCAGCTCCCGGAGGCTCACAGCTTTTCAGACGCCTCAAACACTGCATTTCATGCGTTGCCCTGCACACTCACCCATGGCGATTGGTGCAGCGACAGCAAGTAGGCCTGGCAGCAGCAGCTCCCGTAGGCTCACAGCCGCCACTGCACCCACGAAGCGAGACGGATCGTCCAACACCATGGGCGCCCGTGGGTATGTCTGCTGGGAGAACGAAGAGGTGGAAGAGGGAAGAGAGGGGAGGGGGGAGGGTACACCGATTTGACTAGATGAGTCGACTCCTGAGGCTCACAGCTGCCACTGCACCCACGAAACAAGATGGATCGCCCGGCACCATGGGGCCATGTGGGTATGCTCGCTGGGATAATGTGTTGGGGGGAAGGGGCCAAAAAGGGGAATTTACAGGGATTTTGGTGGGTGAGTCGACTCGAAAACTCCTTAGGGTGACTCCCGCTGAGGATCCCTGATACCAATTAAGTGGATGTGCTGTGCAGTAAGACCTTATGAATGAAAGCAAGAAAAACGAATCAACAACAATGTCAACAACTTCAGCAACAAAGATCACAAGCCCAATGACATGCTCTCTCTCCTCCCGGCCCACCTTCTCCTCGGCTCGGTGGTGCAGGTGCCTCCTTCCCTCCCTCACAACAATGGCCGTGCACCGAGTCACACCACCTCCTGCCATCGCCGCACCTCCCACCACCACTGCTGCCCCCACCATGCATGCCACTAGCAGCTCTGGCCGCAACAAATCAATCTGGTGGCGAGAATGTGGCAGAGGGACGGGAGTGGCATGGCATGGCATGAGCACCAAAAGGAAAGAAATACAGAGTACACCACCACTGCCCCTCTGCCATGCACGCAGCTTTTGAAATGCTGCCATGCATCAAAGATCAGTGAAGGCTGGAATAAGAGAAGGTGAGCGTCACAATGGCATGGACGCGTTTCCGGGCGCCTCAGCAATCAACTCACATTGTGCAGCACTGTGCTGGAGTAGGAAGAGACGAGCGCCACAAAGGCATGCACGAGCAGGAGAGAGCAGAGCGAAGAAGCACCACACCCCATGCCCCTAGTAGCCGACGCTACAGCTGATGCTGCTGCCTCCAAGGGACTGACTGGCGTTCGTACCACCGCCGCCGCTGCTGGTGATGCAGATGCTGATGAGCTTGGAGCGTGGGGTGGAAGTGCAGAGGATTGTAGTGAGGAAGAATGTAACGAGGATGAGGAGTCTCCTGCTGGCATCTCTCCTGTCCCTAGCCCTCCCCCTACCCCTCCCGTTGTTGCTGCTGATGCGTCTGAAGACACTTGCTGTTGCAGCAGATGTGGTGATCCTGCTGCTGCCATGTGGTCTGATGCCATGCCTCCTCCGTCTTGCATACCCATGCCATAGGCATCCGTGCTGGGTGCTGTCATGTTGTGTGCGTCCATGCCATGTGCGTCCTGCTGCATAACATCATGTGCAGCCGGGCCGAGACTGAACTCCTGCATCTGCTGCATCTGCCCCTGCTGCTGCTGCTTCTGGTGCTGTGGGTAGGAGACGTGAGGGGGAAAGGAGAGGGGAGAGTGGAGGGAAGTGAAGGAAGGGGAGAAGTGCGAGGGGAAGAAAATTACCAAGTAGTGGTCAAGTGACCCCCCTCAAGGAAAGGGAAGGTAAGTAACAACGGAACAAGGTCGTGTCGTGAGGAGTAACCCACCCACCTGCGCCATCATTCTACACAGCAAGCCAGCGTGTGAAACAGCCCGCTGGAACAGATCAGTGGTGAGAAAGCAGCACCCGCTGCTGAGCATCCTCATCACCACCAAAGCCAGCCCCAGCAACCCCCCGATCGGCTCCCCCATCCCATCCTCACCATATATTCCGCCTGTTCCCATCCAGCAATCCCCTTGGTTGACCCCCACTCACCTGTGCCATCATTTTACCAGCATCCCCTTTCCCATCCACCAGCCTCTTGGTTGACCTTGCGCCTCTCACCCACCTGTGCCATCATTTTACAGAGCAGGCCGGCATGCGAAACAGCCAGCTGAAACAAATCCGTGGTGAGGGAGAAGCATCCACTACTAAGCATCCCCATCACCGCCACAGCCAATCCCAGCAGCCCCCCTGCCGGCTCGCCCTTCCCATCTACCAACCCCGAATTCCGCCCCAGCCACACCGCCGCCGCCACGGCCAATCCCACGATGACAGCTGGCGGCGCGGCGGCGGCAATCCCGAGTGCGAGGCCAGAGGAGATGTTGGAGGCGTGGCCGGAGGAGGAGGAGATGGCGAGGGAGCGGACGGGGGAGAGGTGGGGGGCGGAGAGGAGGGAGGAGGAGAGGAGGAGGAGGATGGAGCAGAGCATTCCGAGGAGGGCACAGAAGAAGAAGTGCAGCCAGGCTAGAGGGGCTTGCTCCGTGAATAGCAACCACCTGGTGGCCTGGAGAGTGGGGGGATGGGGTGAGGTGAGGGAGAGTGAGGGGATGGGGTGAGGTGAGGGAGAGTGAGGGGATGGGGTGAGGTGAGGGAGAGTGAGGGGATGGGGTGAGGTGAGGGAGGGTGGGGGGATGGGGCATGCCGGGGTTGGGGGGGGGAGAGAGGAGGGGGAAATGCATGCATGAGGGGTACGTATGTGAAGAAGTTGATTCGGATGGGTAAGGGACGGTGCAGGGGAATAATAGGAGGAGGATGGAGGAGAGCATGCCGAGGAGCGCGCAGAAGAAGTGCAGGCAGGCTAGAGGGGCTTGCTCCGTGAATAGCAACCACCTGGTGGCCTGGGAAGGGTGTAAGAGAGGGCGGGGGAGAATGGGGCATGTGGCGGGCATCACATCGTAACCATAACCGAGACGCAAATACAGAACCTACACATTTATGATACAATAAGACCCACTTACCAGGGCGAAGGAGGAAACAGCTAGCACAAGAGAGAGGGCGTATCCATTGAATATACAGCCCACCACCTCCTCTGCTGCTGTGGGCAGCACTGATCCCCGCACCATGGGCGAGCGTGGAGAGGAGCGGAAGAGAGGCGAGTGCGAGGAGAACGGGGAGGAGGAGTAGGAGGAAGAGGAGGAGTCGACTGGGAGGGAGTGAGGGAGGCGGGAGGAGCCAGCAGCAGCAGAGACGGAGAGTATGGCTGCTGCTGATGTGAGGAGGTCGAGAGAGAGGACCACGAGAGGCAGGAGGATGAAGCCTGTTGGGTCTGAGGAAGTGGGGGACAGAAGGAGAAGGAGAAGGGAAGGAAGTGGAGAGGGGAATCAGATGTTGATAGTGAGCAAGCACTATGCTGGGGAAGGGGATGAAATCCGTGGGGCATGAGGGAGTGGGAAGAGGAGAGGGGAGGGGAGGGGAGGCCAGACGGGAAGTACAAGACTTAGGAGATCAAGGGTTAGCTTTAGACGGGAAAGGAGGATGAAACTTGATGGGGATAGCAGCAAGGCAAGGACAGGGGACGAAAGTAAGTGGGAAATGATGGGAGGGAAAAGGGTGGACAGAAAGAAAAACAGGAGAGAAATGAGCGAAAAATAACGAAAGAAAAGGGAAGCACACGTACTGTCTATGGCGCAGTGCTGTGCCACATGTGCCCCCAGCACCATGGACGCCACTGCCTCTGCTGCTGCCAGACAAAACGCCTCACACGCCCTCGCTGCGCCCCTCGCCATGCCCACGCCCACCTGCTCTCCACGCATGCATGAGGGGAGAGAGGGAGGAGGGGGAAGAAAGGTCTCGGCTCGGCACCCGTCACACCATGTTCTGCCCCTGTCACCATGCTACCACCATGTCACCACCATGTCACCACCATGTCACCACCACGCCACCACCACGCCACCACCACGCCACCACCATGCCACCACACCACCAGGTCACCATGCCATCGTGCCATCGTGTCATCACACCCAGTGAAACAAACCCTCAGAAACAGACCCTCAGAAACAGACTCCCAGAAGCAGACCCTAAAAAAAACACCTGGTTACAGAACCCTTAGAAGGAGACTATCGGAAACAAAACCTCAACAAACCCACCATGTCAGCAACAGCAACAACGTTGGCGCCCCCTCCTGCTGCCTCTGATGCGCTTCTATCCATCCTCGATATAAGCTTGTGGCCCAGCGCCAAGGAGCGGGAGAAGATGGACGGCGGGAGTTGGTAGAAAAGAGACACCACTGCCGCCCCGAAGCAGAAACAGACAAGCAATGCCGGCACTGCAGTGGGAGGGGTGAGTGAAAGTAGGCGAAGGTGTGGTAAGGAGGAGAACATGGGAGGAAGGAGAAACAAGGAGCGGTAAGAGAGTGGAAAGTGAGAGCCATTGAGAAGGTGTGTGCGTGGTGTAGGTGGATGAGTGTGGGGTCGTTAATTAAAATGAAAAAACACATGAAAAATAGTTGAAACAAAATAAAGGCACAAAACAAAGTTCAAAAAGAAAAGACACATATGAAACATAGTCAAAAAGGAAAAGAAACGCATGAAACATACGTGTTAATAAAACTCAAGAATAGCGCTGCAGGTATGATTTGTCCTTTCGAGCCTCAAAGCAGGACTGCTTACAATCTGTGGGTTTAAGTCCTGCTGAAGCCACAGTAGAACCCACAGTAGCAGCAGAGGCGGAGAGGCCTCTTCGTTTGTGGGCAGCGAGGGAGGCGGGGAGCGGGGCGAGGTGCATGTGGAAGAAGGCGAGGAGGGCGCTGTAGTTGATGCCCAGCCCGACCACCGGCACCGCCGCCACCACCAGCGCTGCTGCCCCTGCGGCCCGTATCGCCACCTGTGGGAGAGGAGGGGTTGAGAGAAGCATGGGAGATTGTGCACAGACGGAAGAAGGCGAGCAGCGCGCTGTAGTTGATGCCCAGCCCGACCACCGGCACCGCCTCCACCACCAGCGCTGCTGCTCCCGCTGCCCGTATCGCCACCTGTGGGTGAGAAGAGGTCGTGCAAGGAAGGAAAAGGAAGAAGGAGGGGGGTGTTGAGGGGAGGGGGATGCTGTTGCGATTCTGGATGGATGCAAGAGAACGGGTCTCGTGACGTAGAGGCAAAGAGGGGGAGGCAGGGCGGGGAGCGGGGCAAGGTGCATGTGGAAGAAGGCGAGCAGCGCGCTGTAGTTGATGCCCAGCCCGACCACCGGCACCGCTGCCACCACCAGCGCTGCTGCCCCTGCTGCTCGAATGGCAACCTGTGGGTGGAGAGGGGATTTTGCGTTTGGTTATCACCCTAACCTTAACTTAGCCGTTTTCCGTCTTCAACACCTCCACTACCTCATTCCCTCCCCTACGGCCCATTCGCCCTCAATCCCTTAGCACAATCCCCCATGCATGTTTTCTTGTCAAGACATGGACAAAAACGGCTTCAAATTTTTCACCTGCAGGGCCTCTTGAGGGGACCGCCTGGCAGCAACAGCAATCCTGGCAGCAGCAGGCACAGACACCCACACAGCAGCGTGCGCAGCAAGCGCCATGCAGGAGCCGCCCAGTAGAAAGGAGAGGAGAGAGACGAAGGCGAGCAGGGAGCGGTGCACGCCAGTGGCCTCTTGCTGTGGCGAGACTTGGTGGGAGAGGTGGATGAGCGCGACCAGCATGGTGGCCACTAGGACTGCCTTGGCTGCTGCTGCTGTCACTGCTGCTCGGAGGGTGGATGCTCCCCTTTGAACCGCTGCTGTCACCTGCAGAAAATGATGAGAGGAGGGGGTGAAGGGATGAGGAGGATGCATGGGGAGACGGAAAAAGGATGGTGGGAGAGGTGGATGAGGGCCACCCAGAAGCATGGTGGCCACGAGGACTGCCTTGGCTGCTGCTGCTGTCACTGCTGCTTGCAGGGTGGCCGCTCCCCTTTGAACCGCTGTTGTCACCTGGTGGGTGCAGGAAGTGCAAGGGGAGAAGAACATGGCGTGACGAGGAGTGGGGAAATCAGAATAGGAAGAGGGCGGAGAGAGGAATGGTCCACGCTAGTGAAGCAATGGCTTTCGCCAACCGTGTGAAGACGGGGATGAGCACAGGGGAGGGAGGTGTGGGAGACGAGGAGAACGATGTCGAGGCTGACTGGATTTGACGGGGGCTGTAACTGCTCTCAACCCCCATTCCCACTCCCACTCCCACCCCCACCCCCACCCCCACCCCCATCCCCACCCCTACCCCCAACCCCACCCCCAACCCCACCCCTAACCCTACCCCCACCCCCACCGCAAACCGAACCCACCTGTCTGAGTGTGTCCCCGCCGTCATCTCTGGAGCGCACCCAGGAGGCAAGCAGGGAGGCAAAGGGCATGGCGGCAGCGGCGAGACGGGGACGAGAACGGGAGAGGTGAGCGAGGCGAGCAGGAATGCCAGCAGGAAGGGCAGCAGGCAGGCAGGCAGAGGAGCAGCGAGGCTAGCAGGAAGGAAGGCGAGCAGGGGACAGGGAACTATGGGCCTTCTTACTTATTCCCCCACAGCCAACCCACCTGTGTCAGTGTGTTCCCCCCCTGTCCCTGCTCCGCACCCAGGAGGCGAGTAGGGAGGCAAAGAGCATGGCGGAAGCGGCAAGGAGGAAGACTGCCAGTGCCATCCCAGCCCACAAGCTTCCCCTCCCCCTCCCCCCACCTAAACCTAGACTAACAACTCACCTGTCTGAGTGTGTTCCCCCCGTCGTCTCTGGAGCGCACCCAGGAGGCGAGTAGGGAGGCAAAGAGCATGGCGGCAGCAGCAAGCAGGAAGACGGGGATGAGCACTGGGGAGGTGAGCGACGCCAGCAGGAAGGCGAGCAGGAAGGGCGCCGCTGCTAGCAGCCTGGCCACCTTGATTCCGCGGAACAGATCTGGGCTCTGGGGGAGGAGAGGAAGGTGGGATGAGTTGGCAGATCAGGGAAAGGAGATGAGGAGCTTGGAGCGGATACCACGGGGATACAAGCACGAAAAAACGAAAGGCACCAGGAACAAAAAACTACACATAAATATGAGAAGATACTTTGTACTAAGAAACAGAATAAATTAACTAAAAATGGCAGGGTAGAGAGAGCACTGACAAGGTCGGGCACGACCACCACATGCTGTGCTAGACTGTCCTCGAACGGCGTCCGCGCCATGAGCTAACTCGATTAGAGGCACTGATACAGCTGGCCTGGGGTGAGCTACCGTCAAGTGCGGACCAATCAGCGGCTGCTCTGATGTGATTTGCGGTGCTGAGAAAATGTGGGGTTGGGGGAGGAAGGGAAGGGGATGGGAGAGGAGGAAGGGGGGAGATGGAGAGCGGGGAACAAGGGGGTGAAGAGGAGGGTAAGGTTTGGGGAGGTTGCAAGCATAAAATTCACCAGGTCAGCAGTCAGGTTATGACGCCATGGCGGATGCTAAAGTTTGCGAGAGTAACGGCTCTTGAATAGGAGCGGGAAAGAAGAGGTGTAGGGACGAGACCTAGACGTACAAGCTGCAGCCTGACAGCCTACGTCCGCGTTGTGAGTTCGTTCACGAATTAGGCGAGGACGTCCGTGCCTCGCAGCCGCATTCTCGCAATCGCATTCTCGTATTCGCAATCGCATTGTCGCAATCGCATTTTTGTATTCGCAATCGCATTCTCGAATTCGCAGTCGAATTCTCGCAATCGCATTCGCATTCTCTCAGTCGCCAGCCTCACAATCGGATTCTTGCAGTCAAATATTCGCTCTCAGCGATTCCCGCACCGCGATGTAGAGTCAATGCCACCATTGTCGATCTCACCTGCGACACGGAAAGCTTTAGATGTATCCACTCTGGAATCGCAGCATTCGAATTCGACACAGCGCAGCCATGGCAGGTGAAGTGCTATTGAAGGCCCTGTGAGTAGGTGCCAGTCTAGTCTCGATTTTGTTTTTCTGCACAGAAGTGAGACGAGCCCCTTCGTTTCGCCGTTCGCGACAAAATCGAGGCGAGTGTTCGGTAGAGGATCATTCGCTGAAAAAACGATTTTTGTAGTAAGCGTTCGAGGTAGAGAAGCCACAAGTTCTGGGATAGTTCTAGCATAAAATTTATACATCCAAGAGATCCATGATTTCCTAAAGAATCAATAAAAGCATCTCCCAACAGCATCTCCTGTTTCATTGTCATGCACTGCCATTTCCCCTCCCCTTTCCATCCACAAGTCATCAACCTCCCACTCAAGGTGGTCAGTGGTCACCTCAGGGCGTCGTCACGTTGTACATTTTTCAGCACCTTTACATTTGTATCGTGGCTTGGGACGGTTCCACACGTTGGGAAGCGGTTCTCAAGCTTACCGTTTTCCACCGTGACAAAACGGAGTTGAGCATACAGAAGTTGTACAACCTGACTCCGCCCTCACCATTAAGTGAAACTGGTAACCCTTCCACTCGGCTCGAGCCTTCCCCACCGCTGCACACTTCCACTCAGAAGCTCATTCTTACCTCACAATGCCACACTAAGTCAACCTTGTCATCCGCCTCACCCCACACCCAAATCCTCTTGCTTCTCCACTGATGCCTCTTTTCCCCCTCCCTCTCCTGACCCTCACCCCTCACATGCTCTCCTCCCTCTCTCCCCTCTCCTCCCTATCCTGCCTCTCTCCTGCCTTTCTCTCCCCTCCTGCCTCTCCTCCCTCATCCACCTCCCCCCAATCACCGAGGGTTTTTCATCTTGACACCGCAGTGTCGGCAGCAGAACCGGGTGTGACGCACATACATGTGGAAATGGTCCAGGTTGCCACACGCGTGGTGGAAAAGCCCCTCCCTCGCCGCCACCGCCTCCTCCTTTTACTCCCTTTCACCCCACTCTCGCAATCCCAGAAACTCCCCCCCTCCGAACTCCCATTTCCTCCCTCTCTGCCCTCTCCTCCCTCTCCTTCCTCTCCCGCCCCTGCTTCTCCTTCCCCAATCACCGGGGATTCTTCACTTTGGCACTGCAGTGTCGGCAGCAGAACCGGGTGTGACGCACATACAAGTGGAAATGGTCCAGGCTGCCACACGCGTGATGGGAAAACCCCTCCCTCGCCGCCACTGGCTCCTCCTTTTACTCCCATCTCTCCCCATTCGCACAATCCCAAAACCCTTCCTTCCTGCACTCCCCTCTCCTTCCTCTCTGCCTTCCTCTGCCTCTCTACCCTCTCCTGCCCCTGCCTCTCCTCCAACAATCACCGGGGATTCTTCACTTTAGCACCGCAGTGACGGCAGCAGAACCGGGTATGACGCACATACATGTGGAAATGGTCCAAGCTGCCACACGCGTGATGGGAAAACCCCTCCCTTGCCGGCGCCTGCTTGTCCCTGAACCCCACGCCGTGCCGCCCGCAGAATCCAATCGCCTTCACCTCGGGCAGCTGCAGAAGACCGGGCGGCAGATAGTCCAAACCGCAGCCGTCCACCACGAGAATGTGCAGACGGGGGAGTGCGCCGCCCAAAACCCGGCCGGTGCTTCTAGTGGCAACCCCAGTGGCAGTAGTGGTAGTGGCAGTGGCAGTACCAGTCCCAGTGGCAGTGGCAATGGTAGTAGCAGTAGCAGTGGCAGTGGCAGCAGTGGCAGTAGTTGTAGTGGTGTTGAGAGTGGCAAGGGGGGTGCTGGGATTCACATTGGTGGCAGCAGGGTTGCTGGTAGGTCTGGTTTCTGTGTTTGGATTCAGGTTCAACTCAGCAGGAGCATTACTGATGGGACTACTGCTGAGGCGAGTGGCTAAACTGCTGCTACTGGGATTGCTACTGGGATTGCTACTGGGATTGCTGACAGCACTGCTCTTGCCTTGATCCTTCGCTCCTCCTCCACCTGCTGCTGTGCTGCTGCCACCTGCTGCTCCTGTGCTAGCAGCACCATCTGTGCCGAACCTGCTTCCACCCAGGCCAAAGGCCGCAGTAAATGAAAAGAAACTGCTGACGGGGGTAACAGGAGCCCTTGCTGGTGGTGGTGGCGGTGGTGGTGGCGGTGGCGGTGGTGGTGGCGGTGGCGGTGGTGATGGTGCAGTGGTAGGTGCTGCTGATGTGGCTGCTGCTGACGTGGCAGTTGAAGGAGTGACTGCTGGTGGGACAACTGCAGGCAGGGAAATCCCAGCACCAAGCGAATCAGACGCAGGCGGGGGTGGGGTGATGATTGAAGACAGAGGATTGCAAGCAGGTGAAGGGTTGGACGATTGCGGAGGGTTGAAGGATAGAGGGGACGGTCCAGGTAAGGAATTGAGGCGCAGGGAGGAGTAGAGGCCGTGGGGGAAGGAGTTTTCAAAGTAGGCGAGCAGAGGGGGGCTGCCGGACAGCCAGCCCTCGAGATAGTGCAGGTGGGAGAGGCGCGAGAGCACCCTCTCGTAGTGGTGTAAATGCCGTGCCGGCCGGAACGATGCTGCTGATGATGGTGATGAGGAAGATGATGGGATGTGTGTGGATCGGAATGTCGATGCGGTGGCTGTGGATGTGGTAGGGAAGGGGAAGTGCACTGGAGAGTCATCGTCCCACGTCTCCTCTTCGTCCTCCGACCCGGTGCCCTCTTCATCATCCCCATCATCACCCTCACTTCCCTCCTCTTCCTCTTCCTCCTCGTCGCTCACGTAACTCTCATCATCCTCCTCATCTGAAGAATCCCCCTCAAATTCATCGTCATCATCATCTATCGCAGCTTTCCCCACCCGCCTCCTCCCCATCCCACTCCCCTCCCCTCTCCCCGCTCCCTCCATCCCACCCCCTCTCACTCTCCTCCATCCCGCACCAGCCCACCTCCGCCTCTTCCTCCCCCCCTCCCTCTCCCCCTCCGCCCCCTCCAGCCCAAACCCAAGGTCGTCTAGAGCAGGGCAATCCGCTATAATCAGCTCCGTTAAGGTTTCCCACTGCTTCAGGGCGTTGGGAGGGAGGGACGCCAATCGCCAACAGTCGTGTATCACCACGCACTGTAGCACGGGCAGGTTTGCCATGGAAACGGGCAGCTCCTCCAGGCGCGGGCAGAGCGATAGGCCGAAAACTTTCAGCGCGGGCAGCTGCCCGAGAGAATCGGGCAGGCGTTCGAGAGACGGGAGCTTGAGTAGGAGGAGCGTGTCGAGGGCAGGAAGCTGCCCTAGGTCTTCGGGCAGGGAAACAAGCGAAGAACAATCGGAAATTTCCAGGAAACGGAGGGAGGAAAGGGTGGAGGAGAGTGGTGGAGGATTGGTAAGAGGGAGGGGTGGGCCACGGAAAGCCAAAGACCCTGGAGCAGCAGCAGTAGCAGCAGCTGCTGCGCTCGTTCTGCTGCTGGGTGTGTTGGTGGATAATGCGGTTGCGTACGCATGAAGGGTGGATAGTGTGCTGGCAGCCGTTGCCTCTGTACTATCAGCAGCAGTACTCGCGTCTTCAAGAGACAGCTCATCAAGTGACCTATGCCGCTCACGCCGCTCCAACACACCAAATCCACCCAAGCCTGCAGCCCTCAACCCGCCAGCGTTCCCACCACCAAGACCCAACGCAGAGGAAGCAACGCGGAAGGGCGGCAGGGTGGTCAAATGCCGGGCGCCATTCACGCACAGCCGCTCCAGCCCCGACAGATGCGCCCAGGACTCAGGCACCTCCCGCAGCGCATCGCACCCCTCTACCTCCAACACCCGCAGCCCCCCCAGGTGCCCTATCGACTCTGGTAACCCTACCAGACTCGGCAGCTGCTTCAGCTCCATGCTCTCAAGCCTCACCAGACACCCTATGTCTTCCGGGAGAGAGGCTAGCCTCTCGCATCGGACAACTTCTAGGGTTGCTAGTGCGGTCAGCTGCGCTGTGCCGGCCGGGAGAAGCTGTAGCGCGCTACAATCGCTCAGGCGGAGCCGGGATAGGCGGGAGAGTTCCGCGAGGGAATCCGGAAGCGCGGTCAGCGCGGCGCACTGCGACAGATGGAGTTCCTCGAGATTGGATAACCCGCCTAAGGAATCCGGGAGGGATGTGAGGCGCTCCGACTCCAGTTTGAGCACGCGGAGCGTTCCCACGCGGCCTAGGGTTTCAGGCAGCATGCGGAGGTCGAACGCGTTAATCTCGAGGTGCTCCAGCGAGGGCAAATCGCCAATGGACGATGGGAGATGGTGGAAGCAACGGCTGGAGATGCGGATGGTTCGGAGGGAGGAGAGGAGGGAGAGGTTGCAGTGAGTGGAGGTGAAGCGAGAGAGGGTGCTGACAGATGGTTGACCTAAGTGCTCGCTCTGGCCGAGTTCTAATGCTTCGAGTTGGGTTAGGAGGTTGATGGTGGGCGGGAGGGCGGAGACGCGGCGGTAGGAGAGGAGACGGATGACCTGGAGCCGCGGGCAGCCGCGAAATAAATTGGAGAGACCGGCTTCGCTGAAGCGCGTGCGTTGCTGGTAGCCTACGTGGAGGAGATTAAGATTGGGACACGTCACGCCTAATCCGCATAGGAGCAGGTCATCCGCGTCATAGACTGTTCCGTCGGCGACAATAAGGTGCGTAAGAAGCGGGAATCGCGCGAGGGACTTAAGGAGCTTCTGCGTGGAAATCTCGTGTGACACGTGGACGTAGGTGCGGCCTAGACAGGATAGCTGGTACCAGCGCTTGCAGACTAAGGCGTGGTCAAAGGAGCGGCGCGTCACGTAGTGGAGAACACGAGCTAAGACATCGTCAGGTAAGTCGTTAAGAGGGAACGGCTGAGTGCAGGCGAAAAGCCGCAGCGAGGTGGAAGGAAATAACGAGCTCCACATGTTGGAATGGACGTGCCTCCTAATTAGGGTTTGAATAGGCAGCGTACCAAGGGAGGAGTCTGGAGAAGTGATTGTGTGCTGATGCTTGGAACATAAGGCAGGAGCTTAAACTGGACGCAACTTACGATCCACACGGCAAGAAACCGATGCTTCGACGAAAAGCACGTGCCATGGTGAGGGGGTAGTAAGGTGCGAGCTTCGCGCAAACAAAGCTTTTACTTGGTATGATGTGAACTATTTTCTGGAAATTCCGGTTCGAGGCATACAGGAGGGAAAGAGGGTAGTGGGTGTGGCGTGACTGTATGACAACCTTGGTGGTTCAACCATAAATGAAGTGACCTAAACGAGTTCACGAGATTTCAGCTTTCTCTGCGAAAAGACTAGACGGTAACTATGGCTCGTCGAAATGAAGTTATTGGAGGGCAGTTTCCAGGGTCGTATCGCGTGGGGCCCAGTCGTCGAGGTCAACTGTGCATGGTCTGACCGAAACCAGAGCAACAGAGCCGTTCATCGCCACCGTCGCGACATTTTGTCGCTGCGTAATCCGACGGTTGATTCATGAATTGTGGAGAATGGACATCGTTGGCAGGAAAACACGCGGAAACGTCAAATGCCGTGTGGCTTGGGGCAAACTGGCTTGGCGTGTGCCTTGCAAGCAATCGTCCTCAGCGCGCCACAGTCAGATTGCTTGATGCAGTGCAACATGATTCTCTAGCCTTATAGCGTGGTAGAATTTGCTATATTTTGCTACGTGTAAATTCATGGACGAAAAAAAACAAATACTAACTTATGCAACCATCCTTGCATTCTGGCTATCTTTTTAATACACATGTGCAATATCTTTCAATCTTCATCCACCATGTCATTAACTTGCTCTAGGAAGTTGCGCACTTGTGCTGCTGAAAGGAGCATCACTAGGCGAAGGTGTTGAAAGCCCTTCAGCTGAGAGATGGGTATGGAAGGGAAGGGAAAAGGTGGAAATAGTGAGAGCAAGCAAGGTCGGGCAGCGGGAAGGATAAGAGGGAAGGGGAGGAGAAGATGGGAGGAATGAAAAGAGGGGGTTGAGGAAATGTTGGGTACCAAGAGGGGGATGTGATTCTGCAGCCTACAGGATGGGGGGGGGCTTTTGCACCTGTACCAGAAAAATGGCAATAAGAAATTAGCAACTGAAGACAGCAGAGCTTGTTAGTGGCTGACAAGAAGAATATAGTGAACGCCGGTTCTTGGGTGGCTCGATGTATCCTAAATCATGTTTACTTGAACTTAATAACAGAGATCATTTGCAAATCCTCAACGGTGTTGGGATGATGAGCGCGAAGGGAGGATATATTGGGAAGGAACAGCCTAGCTGACCTGTCTGGAGGCCATGACGTTGGCATGGACAGGGAAGGAATACGATGACGTGGCGAGCTGTATGGCAGCAGATGGGTGGGACACGGAGAGAAGAGGGCACGAGATGAGATAGATGGAGGAATCATTTGTCAACTCAGAAACGAGCTGCATGGCAACAGATGGGTTGAATCACGTAGAGGGCATGAAATAGATGGTGGATTGCACGAAGATGGAGGGTTGAGGCTGTGACATGCGGCATGCGGATGCATGATGGCATGCGGATGCATGATGGCATGCGGATGCATGGTGGCATGCTGTTGCACGGTGGATTGCAGCTGCACAGTACGGCCCACCTTCTTGAGGAGCTCGTCCTCTATCTTGGGGAAGAACAGCTCTGAGGCAATGCTCCCTGCTCTGTCTGCCTGTAATCAGTTGACTAAAAAATGGCCCACCTTCTTGAGGAGCTCGTCCTCTATCTTGGGGAAGAACAGCTCTGAGGCAATGCTCCCTGCTCTGTCTGCCTGTAATCAGTTGACTAAAAAATGGCCCACCTTCTTGAGGAGCTCGTCCTCTATCTTGGGGAAGAACAGCTCTGAGGCAATGCTCCCTGCTCTGTCTGCCTGTAATCAGTTGACTAAAAAATGGCCCACCTTCTTGAGGAGCTCGTCCTCTATCTTGGGGAAGAACAGCTCTGAGGCAATGCTCCCTGCTCTGTCTGCCTGTAATCAGTTGACTAAAAAATGGCCCACCTTCTTGAGGAGCTCGTCCTCTGGCTTGGGGAAGAACAGCTCTGAGCCGCTGCTCCCCGCTCCCTTGTGCTGCTTCCTTGCCGCCTGCACAAGGCCCCAAGACATTGGATGACGGCACATGGCCATATCAGCTGACTTGCCCAGACTCCACATGCTTGCCTATGGCAGTGGTGTGGCCTTAGATGGTCAGGTCAGCCCAGGTCAGGTCACGACCTCACGAGCGCACTTGCCCCTGTGCGCCCATCCATCTGTGCCCATGGCAGGGGTGAACGAGTGGTATTACATCACTACCGCATTGTCACCACACCCTTGCACTATACAAATGGGTGCCCCGCAGCTGTAATAAACCAGAGCATTTACGAGTAGCAATAGAAAATATATTCATATATAATAAAAACAAATAAATAAATAAATCTGTGAAGAACCACTGTCGCTACCTTGCCAAGTGTTGGGCGGTACATGCGTGTGAGGAGCAGATAGCCTTTAAACTGAGCTTGCATGCGTTGAGAAATCGTGCGTACAGGCACAGCCATTACCTTGCTGCCCGTCTGGCGGTACATGCGGGTGAGAATGAGGAACTTCTCCACCGGTGCTCCCTTCTCCAGCTGCCACGTGGACCAACAGGAGGGCGAAGAGGGGTGAGGGTGACATGAGAAGACAGGTGTTGGGAAGGAGAGGGATGGGGCGGGAGGTGGTAAGAGGTGATTCAGGATGGTGAATCTACAGCTTGGCAACAACACTGCAGCGCACCTCCTGTACCTATCATGCTCCTGTGCGAATGCCCTGGATTGTTGTGCAGCAGCGCAGCAGAGTACTTTCCACTTTCCGAAGCAGCTTCAGAGGTTCAGGTTTCAGGTTTGAGGTTTCAGATTCGAGGTTTCAGGTTTAGAGTTTCGAATTCAGGGTTTTGGTTATGAGGTTTAAATTCAAGATTTCAAGTTCAGCGTTTCGATTTTCAGAGCCCGTGACCCACCATAGGTTGCAGTGTGCTTCTAAAGAGGTGAGGCACGAGCTGGAAGGGCAGGTTGGCCACACGCTCGCACACCACCACGCCCACACGGCCCCTCTGCATCACCCCCCACAGCTCGTCCCACTGCGCCCTGTTGTCACACCCCTCGTGCAGGAACCGGACAAAATCCGCCGTCCACCCCTTGGACTGCAGGGGGTGTTGGTGGGTTTGTGGGTGAATGAGGATGATACGAGAAAGCAATTTTCACGCTGACTGAGAGGGTGGGTGGTGGTTAGGAAGCTGGTGGATGACAGAGAGTGTAGAGGATGTGTGGTGTGGTAGAGTATGGGTGTTTGATAAGGGCTGAATTTGAGCTCTCAAATGTATGTACTGATCAACTAGCAGGGCATGTCATGGCATGGGATGGCATGGCATGGCATGGCATGGAATGGCATGGCATGGCATGGCATGGCATGGGATGGCATGATGCAACCGGTGTCACCTCACCTTGCAGATCAACGGCAGGCAAGCAGTGAGCCCCAGCACGCTCCCTTCATCCCCTGCTTTCACCACCGTCGCCACACTCCCAATCCCACCCCCACTGCTACCACCACCGTTAGCACCACCGCCAGCAGCGTTCCCTTCCCCGGCTGCGCCTCCGCCCAGAGTTCCCGAGGTGACCGCGTCCACAAAGGCCGGCAGGTCCCACCTCTTGCCGTCCAGGAAGGTTCGCAGCAGCGCCTTCACGCCGTGGTAATCCGACGGCTGGGCGTCAAAGAAGTCGAAATCAACCATCAGGATCTGGCGGGTTGAGTCGGGATGAAGGGATGGGGAATGTTGGTAGGGAGGAAGCGTGGAAGGGAATCAAAATGGCATGGAAGGGAAGTGTGACATGACAGCATGAGAAGAGTGCGCGGCCGGCAAACACTGTGCCCTCATCCTTCCATCGTTGCAAGCATGACAGCGCAGGAAAACATGGATTCGAGCCGCAGCAAGCGTAGGGTCTCCTCGAGAATTCTCAAAAGTGATTTCATCCTTTCATCCTTGCAAGCATGACAGCGCAGGAGAGAAACTGCAAACACGGCTACCACGGCTAAAGCACTGGAAGCTGCGGAAACCCTCATCCCTCAATCTCACTGGAAATTTACTCTCAACCCTCCAGTGGAGCGTCTAGAAAGAAACAGTGAAGCCTATTGTTAGTTGGTTGACCTCTGGACATGTGACCCTGAAGCTCTCACTCAACCCTACAATAGCTGTCTGTACCTCCTCGTCTCCTTTCTCCTCGCCGTCGCCGTCGCTCCCTTCGTCCTCCTCGTCAACTTCCTCATCCTCGTCCTCCTCTTCTCCTTCGCCCTCTTCATACTCGTCAATATCGTCCTCCCTATTGTCGTCGTCCTCCTCCTCTTCCTCGTCTACATTCTCTTTCGCCGCAATCCCGTTTTCCCCTCTCTTGCGCGTCCTCTTCTGCTTCGATCTCTTGTCTAGAGCGGGTGAATCACCCCTGACGTTGCCATTGTTCTCCCCATCGGCATTCCCAATGGGTCTCAGACCTAGAAGTTCCAGTTGCTGGTCTTCTGACAATCGATCTAACAGTTTCCTGAGTCGTCGTCGCGAATCACGCCGAGATTTCACTATAGAGAAGGGGTTGTTGAACGGCGGCAAGCCGAAAAAACTCGAACTGGCAAGGCTGCGAACCATGGCGGCATGCAACACAAGAATATGTATGGAATGAATGATTTTTGTTTTTTATTTTTTATAAATGTTATTTAACAATAGTACCATGGGGGTGTAGCTCACATGGTAGAGCGATCGCTTCGCATGCGATAGGTAAGGGGATCGATACCCCTCACCTCCATAACCCTGTTGCTTGCGCCATCTTCCTTGAGGTTTTGCATCCATGCTGTATTCTCATCAGACACCGCATCTATGCATGCTGTGGCATCTCATTTGGAAAACTTAATGAGAGCATACCGTACATTGGGAACCACAGCTTGTGTACTGTACATCACTCTGCATCCCTGGGCATCTGCATGACCATGGAACACCCTTCCCTGGCAGTGGACACTGATAGCCCCTAGCCATACGTTGTACACCTACTGCATTCACTACATGCTACTCCATTCGATCGCTATGTTTTTGCCTCTCAGAACAGCATTCCTGAGCACCCGTAGAGCCATCGGGCATCATTGCTTGGCAGTGTACACTGACAGCCTACTTCTGGTTAAATGCTAAATTGTTCTACTGCATTCACGCTACTGGAGTCGATCACCATGTCTGTGCCTCTCTGCATCCCTGAGCACCCGAAGAGCCATGGGGCGCCATTGCTTGGCGGTGGACACTGACAGACCCATGCCGGTAGACAGGCCCTTAAGCAGCATCATGGTGCGCACTATAAAGAAGATGTCCGCTGGGAAAGCCTGCGGCGATGAAGGGAGCACGAGGAACAAGGTACAGAATGACTAGTTCGCAGCATCATGGTGCACGCTAAAAAGAAGATGTGCGCTGGGAACGCCTGCTGGCATAGAGGGTCGGTGAGCAGCGTAATGCAGACGATGATAAAGTCAGAATCAATTGGCCGAGAGTATGTGACGTGACAGGACAGATGAAACAACAAATGCGCACAGAAAGAGACTAGCTCCCCAAAAAAAAAAAAAAAAACAGACTGGTCAAGAAACCAAAGGAGCTGCCCAAATCTCACTTTCATCGCATTGCTCTTGAGCGAGCTCTCCTCCCCGAACGGGTTAGCGCTGGTAACCCCGTTACTGGTGCCGGTGTCAAACATTATCATGGCCATGCGGCGGAAGCTGCTGGGGTGCTCCCCTGCTGTCTTGGCCGTCTCTATCCCCATGGCCCAGAAGCACGAGCCCACAGCCAATATGTCCTCATCTGCTATCGCCACCACCAAGCAAGCCAGATTCAGCCTCAACGCTTCAGGCAGCTGCTTGGTCTGGCCGTAGTCCAGCAGAGCCACCCTGCCCCCCGCACACACGAGGATGTTGCCCGGATGGGGGTCTGCTTGAAAGTGCCCGTGCTGCAGCAGCATGCGGCCGTATGCTGTGGATAGGGCGGAGAAGATGCGACTGGGGAGGGTGGGGCATTGGGGGATTTAGGGGTAGGGGTTGGTGGAGAAGGAGGCCAGCAGGAAAAGATTGTGAGGATGAAAGGTTAGGGAAAAGGGTATGCAAGGGCATGCAAACACGAGTATCCCACCCAACCCCACCACATCCCACCCCACCGCACCTCTTGGTCTGCCTTGCGAGTGCGCCACCGGGGCTGATGCCTCGCCGGCGCATCTCCTCGGGTAGTCTCAGGATGGGCGTGCCGTCAATAAAGTCCATCACCAGTAGGCGCCTGGGACCGACATTATGGGTGATAGGGGGCAAGCCAGGAGACTGAGAAGTAGGACAGATTGATGGAAGAAAGGGGGAGCAACGGAGGAAGACAGGCAGAAAGGCACTTGAATGTGCAGAAGGCAGCATACACATGTCTAGCAGGCAGCAAACACAGCACAAAATCTCTATCAATCAACAGATGAGAGTCATGTGGAGAGCATGTATGACAGAATGGGGTCACAGAAGCAGCAGCAGCAGCAGCAGCACCTGGTGACAGCAGCAGCAGCACCCATACCTGGTGACAGCAGCAGCAGCAGCACCCATACCTGGTGACGAGTCCTGGTATGGCTGCTGGAACAATGACAGGTGACGCCCGTGTATCCACCTCCGCACTCCTCCCACCACCTTCACCCCTTTGTCGATCCCCAGGTCTTGCCTTCCTCCCCGCATGATCCACCCTCCCCACCCTCTCCACCTTATCTGCCCTATCCGCCTTGCTAATCCCTCCACGGCCCACGCCACTTCTGCCAGCGCGCCGGCTGCTGCGCATCCCCCCATGCCTCTCCCGCCTCCCCCCTGCCGTCTCGCCTCCTGCCGGCTGTGCCAGGGCGTGTCTGATGCGCTCCATGGCTGCTGCCTCGTGCTCAAAGTCAAACTCGTACCGGATCTGCACGACAGGGATGAGGGAGGAGGAGGGACACAGGATGAGGAACGAGGGCACCAAAGCTTTTGAGCCGTCTTCGAGATTTGAGACATCTAAACGTTCATGGCTGCTTCCTTCCTCGTGCTCACAGTCAAACTCGTGCCGGATCTGATGCACTGGACGAGCGCAGAGGGTAGAGAAGAGGTGCAGCAGCATGGTTGAAGGTTGGCATCACATCACATGCATTGGACGAGTGCAGAGGATGCCTTAGTGTCGTTTCCAAAGGAACCAGCCACTGAGGGTTGGGATGCTTGATTAGTAATGGACAATGTGAACAGCTGTTGAAACCCTAATGGAGTGAAGGGAGCTATGGAGTGAAGCGTGCTTGCTGGGGGGTGCACGCACCTGCTGCTCCAGCTCTGAGATGGGACCCAGCAGGTCGACCTTGATCTCGGCGCGCTGCTGCAGGAAGGCGCCTAGGAGACGCAGATTGCCAGATTTGACAGGTGGGAGGAGCACAGGGGGAGCATCACGCACGCACCTGCTGCTCCAGCTCAGAAATGGGACCCAGCAGGTCCACTTTGAGCTCGGTGCGCTGCAGGAAGGCGCCAAAGAGACGCAGATTCGCGAGGTCCATCAGCATGAGGCGCTCTGCCCCCTTGCGCTGCACCTGTGGGGTGGGAACAAACAGGGTGGAGAGGGAGAGGAGAGACGAGAGCAATGAGGCCCATGAGCCATGAGGGCAGTGGGCGTAGTAGAGACTCTGTGCTCGCCAGGTCCATCAGCATCAGCCGCTGTGCCCCAGCACGCTGCACCTGTGGGGAGGGGAGAATGAAGGGGGGTTGAGGAGGAGGTTGAAGAGGGACAAGACAAGCACGAGGAGGTGCGTCTAGGTCCGTGAGGCACGAGTGATGAGAGGAGTAAAGATTCGGTGTCCATTGCATCAATGAGAGGCATCAGCATCAGCCGCTCTGCCCCTGCTCGCTGCACCTGTGGGGCTCGAATGAAGGGGGGAGGGCGGAGAGTGCAGAGAACAACGAGGTGCAGTTGGGTCACGAGCGATGAGAGCAGTGGACAGGCGTGAAGACTCTGTGCCCGCGAGGGCCATGAGCCATGAGCATCTGCCAACGCAAGCATCTCGCTCTGCTCCCTCTGCTCTCTGCTCAATCGCAACCTGTCATCCAATTGCCCTGCCTGCACTGCGCTGTGCCAGTGCATGTCACCCGCGCACACCTATGCATGTTCCGCTTACCTTGATGGCCACACGGCGCCCATCCTTCAGCCTGCCCCTGTGCACCTGTTGCACCCCATCACCATCACACACACACACACACACACACACACACACACACACACACACAAACACACACACACACACACACACACAAACACACACGCACACACAAACAGAGGCGAATTGGTGGAGACGAGCAGGAGCATTGACGAATGAGAAACAAGAGGCCAGCTGGTCCAGCCTCAGCAGCGCATTAAGAAGGGTGGCTCAGAAAGCAACGTAGATTGCAACGAACCATAGGGCACAGTCCAAGCTATTGCGCAGCACAATCCCTTGTGCGGAGAAGGAATCCACACCATCAACGCACAATGCTCCATTCCCTTCTCCCTTTCCTTCCCCCCCCCAAGTCTTCCCCCATTCTCCCCCTTTCCGCGCGCTGACCTGGGCAATGGAAGCAGAACCAACCGGCTCCTCCTCAAACTCCGCAAAAACGTCTTCCAGCCGCACCCGTGCCACGTCAGCAGCACTTGCCACGTCACTCCCTGCTACGTCAGCGCATGCCAGCTCAGCCTCGACGGTGCGTCGAATGAGAGGGAAGGGGTCTGCGGGCGCACTGTCGTGGAGAGGCGCGAGACGGCGCACCCAGGCTGGGGGGGACATGTCTGGCTTGGCTAGGAACTGCCCTGCCTGGTGGGGAGAGGAGGAGGGGGGGGGGAGGGGAATTGAGGGCTGAGGGTTTAGGGTATAGGAACATGTTTGGCTTGGCCAGGAACTGCCCTGCCTGGTGGTGAAAGGAGGAGAGAGAAGGGGGACGGAGAGAAGGGATGGAGATGAATGAAGAGTGGAGATGAATGAAGAGTGGAGATGAATGAAGAGTGGAGATGAATGACGAGTGGAGATGAATGAAGAGTGGAGATGAATGACGAGTGGAGATGAATGACGAGTGGAGATGAATGACGAGTGGAGATGAATGACGAGTGGAGATGAATGAAGAGTGGAGATGAATGACGAGTGGAGATGAATGAAGAGTGGAGATGAATGAAGAGTGGAGATGAATGACGAGTGGAGATGAATGACGAGTGGAGATGAATGAAGAGTGGAGATGAATGACGAGTGGAGATGAATGACGAGTGGAGATGAATGACGAGTGGAGATGAATGACGAGTGGAGATGAATGAAGAGTGGAGATGAATGAAGAGTGGAGATGAATGACGAGTGGAGATGAATGACGAGTGGAGATGAATGAAGAGTGGAGATGAATGAAGAGTGGAGATGAATGACGAGTGGAGATGAATGAAGAGTGGAGATGAATGACGAGTGGAGATGAATGACGAGTGGAGATGAATGAAGAGTGGAGATGAATGAAGAGTGGAGATGAGTGAAGAGTGGAGATGAATGACGAGTGGAGATGAATGAAGAGTGGAGATGACATCCCTTGATGCAAAGGGACATGTCTGGCTTGGCTAGAAACTTCCCTGCCTGGTGAAGGAAGGAAACGAGGAAGGTTAGGAACAGAGAATGGAGGAGGCGTGAAGAGAGGAGATGGAAGGTTGGAGGGTTGAACCATGTGCTGCTGGCAGCTGTGCGGAGGTACCTTGAGAAACATGCCCTGCATTTCGGTGCAGAGCGAGTGCAGTATCCCCGCGTCCCGTTCGTGCTGCTCCCGCCCGCGCCACCCTGCGCGGCTTATTACGCACCTTACAATGGCATGGGTGCTGTGACCGAGCCATGAGCAAAGAAACCTGCAGCGGCGGTACCTTGAGAAAGAAGCCCTGCATCTCAGTGCAGAGCGAGTGCAGTATCTCCGCCCCCCGCTCGTGCTGCTCCTCCCATGCCGCCCGCCGCTGCTCCTCGCTCAACCTGCTCAGGCGCACGCGCACCTGGCATAGCTGGCGGAGCTCTCAGATGCAAGGGGGGGGGGGGGGGGGGGGGGGGGGGGGATGGGGGTGAAGAAAGGGAGAACCACACAGAGCTGACTTCTGAGTCGACTTAAAAGTCTGCTTAGGGCACGCGCACTTGGATGGCGCGCGCACAGGGATCGGAGTGGGGAAGTGTGGAAGCAGGCGGAAAAAGCGTGTTTGTGCGGACTGGGATTACCATTGAGAGGCGATGGAACGAGCACTGTGGAAGGAAGGAACGGGCTTCTGGTCTATTCCATAGGAAACTGCCTTGGGTGCACGACACTCATGGCTCGATTTAGTCACCTCGTCGCTGCCTCGATATAATCACCTTGTAGGCCCGTTATAATCACCTTGTAGCTGCCTCGTTATAATACCTTGTAACTGCCGTACAGATGGACGGCTCGTCTCCAGAAGTCAACGATGCGATGCAGCGCCTGCTGCTGCTCCCTCCATCCCTCCACCGCTGTCCTTCCGTAATTCCCGCTACCGCCACTAAAACCGCTCATGGTGCCGCTCGTACTGCTGGCACCGCTCGAACCGCTGGCAGCGCTAGTAATGCTGGTACCGCTGGTAGCGCTGTTTTTTTCCCGCGCCTTTGCACTCCCCGCGTTGTCATGCGAATGCCATGGCACGCCGGACAACCCGCTCCGAAATTGCGACTCCGCCTGCACGATCCGATCCTGCAGCCATCCCGCGAGCTCGGCGCGCAGCGACTCGGGGTTTGAGCCTACGACGGAATTGCCGTTACGGTCGGTCGAGGCGACAAGGGAGTGCTTCATGATCGTACCAGGAGGATTACGAGGGCGGTAAGGAAGCTTGTTGGAAGTTGACGAGTAACGGGAGGCAGTTTCCGAATTGAATCGTTAGGGCATAGGCCTGACATGGCGAGGCAATGTAACTGTACGAATAACACTCTCTCGGCTATCAGACATCGCATGAACGAAACTGAATAGCCTACAGGAGGACGAGGACGCCATGAATTGTGTTATGCTGAAGAGGGATATCATTCGGAATAGGCCGCAACGAGTGTGATCAGGCACGCTTGCAATGCTGGCAATTTTGCACTCTGTTTGCGAAATTTGGTAACGGGTTTCCTGTATCGAATTATACGTGTGCGGCTCACAAAGCTTGTTTCAAAGAGCACCGCGAAAGTTGGGCGAAGAGCCGGCGACTAGAGATGGTACACCCTCGTTCTCAGCTCTCTCACCAGCGGAAGCACTGGCTACAGTGTTTGGACGCAGCGGGCTGGTGCGATAACTCGGTTGCGGGCAAAGTCGCACGAGGTGACGAGGCAAGCCTTGGGCAGTACACACGATGCCCGGTTGAGCCCCCCGACCTCGCCTTACCCTCTGGGCTTATAAGCGATTCTCGCTTCGCTTGAAGATTTCGTCAATTCGCATCGGGCAAAAAGGGCTTATAAAAAACAATTGTAACTCAACGCTGACTGTTTGACTTTGGTCTCGTCAGTCAAACTTCAGTTTCTGTGGTTCGTATTGGTCGACGTGCTTGTAACGTCGGTGTAACGTCGTGGCACAAAACCCACGGGTGCAAGGTTTCCACCCAGTACAAGGCAATTTCGCGTGCAGGAGGTGAGCATCAGGTGTAAAAAACCTTTAACAATGAATAACCGTCTTAACCGTTTTAAAAATAACAGTACCATTTTAAAACGTTTGAAAACTTGACTGACCGCATTGGGTGAAATTGTCACTATAACGCATGTGATAAGACCTTCTTTGGTCCGTTGCGGCTACACAAAGCGTCCCGGTCAGTATAACATATGCCAGTTTATCGAGAATGAGGGTGTACTGTATTGTGAACTGTGTCGACACGACCCTCACCACCATTGTCTGTGCTCGCCACCATCCATGTTACCCGAGACGAATGTTTGAGGTCCGTCAGTCGTAATACACGGACCACGGTATTGTTCGGTGCGTTGCGTTCCAAACGGTAATTAGGAGAAACTCAGGTTGAACTGTGTGGAAACTGAACAGCACTGCACAAGTGGCAGAGCGCCTTAGGGGACGGTCGACTGGAACTATGCCGGTGGTTTTTTGAACAAGCTGGTCAAGAAACCACATCGGTATCAAGAACTAAAATATCAACTCAAAGCGTTTAAAAGCGATTCATAACGGTACCATCCGACGTTCAAATCTTGAACATCTGACATGTCCCTCGCCCCAATCTGCTCTGCGACTTGTTCCCATTTCGCGCCACGCGCCACGATCCACCATCGTGCAACTTTGATTTGCTCTCTTGGCCATCTTCTCTCACATCACTAGACTTTCTGAATCAACGGGACCGCCCTGACCGTCTTCTTGTTCCTAGAGATTTTGATGTCAGCACAGTAAGTCGTGATATGTCACCAATTATCGTCAGAATACGTGCCTCAGAAGGTAGGTCAGCAGCAGTTCAATGTGACCCCGAGTTGAGCTTGCCTCCAATGCAGTAGTAGTTCGACGTGGCTCCAGCAGCATTACAGCCGTGAGTATCGTGACTCCTTCGTTGGTAAGGAATTTCTTTCTATCCAACCGTCTCTTTCTTCAGATATTCATCACTGCAACCGCTTTTGAGGAATACTAGTCAGAACACACCCCTCGGACCGCACAGCAGATCAACGGGCGCTACTCAAGCTGATCTTGCCTCCTCTACAATTCGAACAGCAGTTCCGCTTGGTCCAGGCAGCGTTTAATAGGGACGGTCTCGCCATGAGTTTGGCGTAACTAATTTATTCCTTTCAACCAACCAAACCTAACGATGGTGGCTGCGCGTTTCCTTTCGACTACGTTGGCACTGGTAGTACTAGTAGTGCTGGTGGCGCTCCATATGAGGGCCACGTCAGCGTTCAGTTTCTTAAGCACCGAGGCCGGAAAAGTGCTGTCGTCGCTCAACTGCGACTGGATCGGCAACGACATTGGCCAAGTCGCCGGCAAGGGCGACACATGCGGGAAGCTGTGCCTCAGCCGCGCGGATTGCACGCACTTCACGTGGACGGCCGAAAATGGCGGCACGTGCCGGCTCAAGGGGGCAATCAACGCCACGGAACTGGTCCCGGCCACTGGCACATCGTGCGGTTATCGCGTCAGGGACAGCGGCGCGATCGGCAACCCGTACACGGGAGTCCAGCAGTACCTCAACCCGGGGTACGCGGCGAGCGTGAAAGCCGCGATGCTCGCGTCTCCCAAAGATGCGTCGGTTTTCGCGAGCGTGGCGCAGTATCCAACGGCCGTGTGGCTTGACACGATGGCGAAGCTCAACACCATCCAAGGCCACCTCGACAAAGCAGCGGCTCAGGCGGGCGGGAAGGCCATTCTCGTGCAATTCGTGATCTACGACCTCCCGGGCCGCGACTGCCATGCGTTTTCGTCCAATGGGGAGATTCCGAAGGGCGGCCTGGACACGTACAAGACCAAGTACATTGATGTTGCCGCGGCGCGGCTCGCAAAGAAGGCGGCGAACGTGCGTCTGTCGCTCGTGATCGAGCCCGACTCGCTGCCCAACCTCGCGACGAACTTGGGGTCAGCTCAGTGCGACGCTACGACGGAGAAGGAATACACGGAGGGCGTCGCGTACGCGATCGCGAAGCTCTCGCAGGTTCCCAGCACCTCGCTGTATCTCGACTCGGGGGGCGGCGGGTGGCTCGGTGAGTGCGTGTGCCGCGCGCGGTTGTTCCGTTCCATTAATAGGCGCCTCGAAAGTAGATTTCGTTCCATGCCAATCTGTTTCCTTCCTATCCTTCCTCCCCCTTCAGCCGTAGCCCTGCTTCCATTCGCTATGCACTCCCCCTCACCCCACCCGGCAATCCTAATCCGCTCGCTCCTCAACGCGTGAACAGGCTGGCCGAATAATATGAAGAGCGTCGTGATGATTTACAAGAAAGTCCTCGCGCGCGCGCGGAAGATCCGCGCAGGCGCCAACATCCGCGGCTTCGCGTCCAACGTGGCTAACTACAGCCCGCTCTTTTCCTACCGCTGCCCGGCGGCGGAGAGATGCCCGCTCGCGAAGCACCCGGGCACGGGCGAGATGAACTACGACTGGAACCCGTGCATTGACGAGAACCGCTTCACGTCGCGCATGAATGCGTACCTGGGAGCCTTGGGATTGCCGACCAGGTGGATTGTGGATACCAGCCGCTCCGGCCGCGCTGGCATTCGGAAGCGCTGGGGGTCGTGGTGCAACGTGAAGGGCGCGGGGATTGGACAGCGCCCCCGCGCGAGTCCCGGTAGTGCTCCGCAACGTGAGCACTTCACATCAAGCGCATCCTTTCTGTTGCTTTTCTTCTCTTCGTTTTTTCCTTTCTGGCGATTCTGTTTTGAAAACGTCGTTTCCTTTCCCACACACCTTGCTTGCCCGACAGTTGATGCTTTGACTTGGATCAAGCCGCCTGGGGAGAGCGATGGTCATTCGTAAGTAAATATGCAGGACAAACGATTTGTTTTTATTCATTCTTGATACTGCAGAGTCTTCCTTATAGTTCTTTAAGCTTACGTAGTTGTCCTAGTGGGTTATTAACCACTCATACGCTGGGCTATGCTTCCTTACACCTTCACTCATCTCTGCTCTGTCAGTGGCCATACTTCTCTTCACATCTTCAACCGTCACTCTTCCTTCCCCCCCTGATGCATCCGATCCAGAAAAAAAGTTGGCGTTTCCCCCGTGGATCGCGAGT